AACTGCGCGCGCCGCCTCCGCCAACAGTCCCGTCCGGGCCGCCGCGTGTGCCACTTGCGGCACCAACCCACCTTGCGCCTTGTCGTCGATGTGTGCGCGGTACAACACGTCCCAACACTCTGCCACGTAGCACGTCCGCCGCACCAACGCCGAGGCCCCCTCCCCCAAGTCCACGGGGGCGTCCCCCAAAGACCAGGGGGCCGTTTTCGTCTCGGAGTCAGGTGCGACCGAGTCAGGCACGGCGTGGAGCAGCGTACGTCCACAGGCGACAAGGTTGCCGGCGACGACGCGTTGCGCATCATAAAAGTCGCGCGGTCGATCGTCTCGTGACGCCGCGTTCAGACTGCGCGAGGCGGCGGTGAGGAAAAGGCGCGCGGCGAGACAGAGGCCGCGCAGAAGCTCCTTGATCAGGCTGTCACTCTGCCAGGGCTCGAGCGGCTCCGCTGGCCCTTTTTGTTCGACCAAGTTCTCTTCAAGTTCGTAAGGCGCTATGGGGACGTCTGCGTCGAGCATGGCGTTCCCGGCACTGTAGGCCCAGTCGCTGAGCGAGGACCAGAGGAAGGCGTGCGGGCCTAGACAGGGTCGGCCGATGGAGGTGGCGACGGGATCGGCAGTTTCAAGGTGGAAGCAGCTGCTTTCGGCGAGGGGGTGGTGCTGTTGTCTGCGCGCGTCAACCTTGGCGGCCAGCAGAGCGGGCGGCTCCTGTAGCGCGTTACGCACGGTAAGCAGCGTCGGGCAGTCCTGGCAGTTGTTGAGGACCATCAATTCCGAGTACAGCACATCCAGCAACGGCGCAAACACGGCCTGTACCACTGGCAGCAACGAAGCAACCGCCAGCAGCAACGGCACCTGATACTGGGGCGCACAATGCGTCAACACGGCCCGCTCCTTAAGACACCCTGCCAACAAACTCAGGTAACTTCCAAACATGTGCGCCGAAGCCACAAACGCCTTGCGTAACCGCCCCAACTCGTCTAAGACCATGTGCTTGCCCTTCTGACTCGCCTGCAGCCCCAGAAACGGCGTGCTCTTAATAGCTGGCGCGCTCTGAACAGCCGCAGCGTTCTTAACAGCCGCCGCGCTGGCTTGCAGAAGCCGCGCCTGCTCAATGCACTTGAGCAGGTCACAGCCCTGCTTGATAGTGCGCCGGAAAGTGAGACCGAGGAAGTTTTGGTCGAACGGGCCGTGCGCAATCTCAATTCGCGACATGTACATGAGGAAACACTTGACCAGAGGCGAGATTGGGTGGGTGGGCAAGCAGTGGGTGAAGGCGAGCGGCGGGATCTTGAGGTCGCCGTCCGCATCCGTAGCTATGAGAATATCCAGCAGCAGTTGCGCAATGTTGACCTGCAGGGGCGGGGAACAGTCCACAATAATGGGTAGCGAGTCCAGCAGCACCGACACGCCGTTCACTTGGACGAGGAAGAGTAGCATTCTACTCACATTGCTGATTCGGTCCATGATAAATTCGTGCGCCGGTGTTGGAGGCAGCTGGAGATCCTTCATTGCGCTGACCTGCGGTTGCAAGACCATCTCTCGGACCAAAGCTTGGGAGTTCTGGCGGACCTTCCATGAATTTGTTTGCATGAGGTCTTGTTTCAACTGAGCCAGCAACTTCGAGAAACAGATCGCATAGACCTGTCGAAGATCTCCGTACAGACGGGCAGAGGTGTCCACCGTATGGCCAACGGAGCTGGTGATGTGGGACACTCTGTCATAGTACGCCAAAGACGGGTCAGCCATCTGTTCTGCCATTGCAATGATAAAGTCGCCATTCCTCCTCTTGAGATCCTTTATTCCCAATGAATGAACGCACAACTGAGAAAAGAACGAAGGCAAATAAGCCATACAGCTCTCGGATTTGGCCAAGGAGGGCATAGCGTCATACAAGCATTCAATTAATCCGCTGCGCGTCAAATGAGACTGCGAGGCAGGATCTTCATTCCGACAGTCACCCAAAGACTGCACTGCAGCCGAAGCACAAACATATCCGACCTCTTTTGGGTGCTGGAAAATGTACCGGAAGGCCAGTCCAAACTCTTCTATAAGCTCGGAAGCGACTGTCTGCTGAGTACCCGAATATGGGTACCAGAGAAGTATAGGACCGTCTTTAACTAGCGCCGCCGTCAGGCTCCGGCGATTCGTAATCTCCTCCATAATCTGCCAAAAGTACGACCCGCGCAGAAACGCCTCATGCCAGTTCGTAGGGACGCCCGGCTCTATCATATACAGTCGGGTCGCCCCCTCGACATCCTCGCACTGCCCCTGGCCGGTCCACGGGGTTAACGTATCGGTAATCCATCCTTCGTCTCTCGCGTACTCATTTAGCTGATGAATACATGCTAACTCGTATCTGAGGCGCTGCGCACACGTGTGCACGATATTTAATTCTCGAACATTATTCTTCAATGCCGCTCCAGAATTATCGTAGTACGATTCCATCGCCCGCAAAGCGCTCATACAAGCCTGGATGTATCTATAATCTCGGACTTCCAATAATCTTGCGATTTGCTTGACTATTGTGGGATGACCCAGGGCAGCCGACGAACAAGCGAACAAACTTTCTTGATATAAGTCCAACAGCGCTGTGACCACTTCGGCATGACTTCTAATATGTTGAATATGCCTGATTGACGGCAAGCAGCTTGTCCCATTCAAAATTGGAGATGAACCAAACTTCGGAATTTCTCGCGGAACACAAATCTTTAGTCTCTCATACAAATCCCTGGAAGTGTATGCCGCAGCGGTAATGTCTTCACAAATTGGTTGTGGGTCCGTTTTACAGACAACTTGGGGTACAAAATTCGGAGGAACGATCTCGTCAGGGTCCTCAGTTACGGGCGCCTCTGGTATCGAAACCGCGGGGCATACACTCAGGCTGAGTGCTGGCGACTGGTCTTCTTCTACCGCCATCATCCCTTCACTGTTGCTGTTTTTCCCGTCACGACTACCGTCTGTTCTAGCACAATTGTCGTCTCTAGCAGAACAGCCCCCTTCAGGATCTAGGTCGTTTTTCTCAAAGAGTAACTCAGGGAGCGCATGGATAGCCTCCTTAGGGTATAGTTTCTCGTTCCCAACATAGGTCCTGATGAGCTCGCACATGATCCCATGCGGCATTTGCAGCTGTAAGTATTGCGATACGTGCTTGACATTTACTTTCTCGTGCAGCAAGGTTACCCACATGTCTATTACCAGGGCTAGTGTAGAATAATTCAAACACTTATGGCTTCGTGTGAGCAGCCCGAGTTCGGCCATGACCAGTTTGTGCGGAGTATGCTGTTGGAAGTATAAAGGACTGAGCGTCATGATGCACATCAGGGCCAACAAGCTGTCATCCACTAATCTTCGTCTTCGGTTCAAATGGTCCTCATTGAGCAGTATTCTCATCCGATGCCTCAAAAGGCGCGTCTCCTTGACGCCAAACGCTGTCGAAAGCTCCGCCAGTCGTTTCTCATGTTGACAGGTGAAGACACCAGCAGCAGCCTCTCTGCCGCCGTCTACAATATCGCTTGCCTGTCGACCCTCCGCTGGCTCCTGAGACTTTACCGACGGCCTTTCTAACGACGGCCTTTCTGACGACGGCCTTTCTGACGACGGCCTTTCTGACGGCGGCCTTTCTGACGGCGGCCTCTCGGACGTTCCGTTTGGCGACTTGATGGAAGCCAGAGAGGCTTGTAGTTTTTCTCTTATATCGCCGTTAGATATGATGACTGGCTGACCAGTGCTTATTAGGGTATAGCGGCCTGTGTGGCTCGGTACAGCGTGCCAATGCAAGTCGGAGTAAAAGCTGAGCGGTGTGCTGTTAGTTGAGTCATGCTCAGCAACGATTCTATTTGGAAAGGCGGCCAGGATGTTTAGTCTCTGTAGCAGCTCATTCATCCAGGGAGCGTCTACGGACTTTTTGCCTCGTCGAGCTACAAACGCAACAATAACGATGATGAAAAGAGCGTTTTCCAGAATTGCCGTATCGCATGAATCCAGCAGCAACATGACGTTTCCGACCGAGTTGAGCATGGCTTTCGCCGTGCAAGACTCCACGATTATCTGCATGGTCCGCAGGACGTAGATGACACACTCTGCGTCCAGTCCTTCCTGCCCCTCGTAATCGAACCCATCATCGAAGGGCCTTCTTTCCTTCAAACCCTTGCTGCTGTTTCCCGGTAAGTCCGCCAAACCGGAACGCAACACATATACTGCCAATACCTCGTCCAGCCGGTTCAGCACCGGTGTCCATACAAACATATCTCCTTTGTCCCATACCCAGTTGGCAAAACATGACAACCGCTCCTTTAGCTCCACATACGTCCGAGTCGCCAAGATGCTTGATACACATGCCCGCTCGCTCACAGTGAACGGAACCACCGCCAAGGACCCATTGTCGCTTCGCGGAACACCTATTTTCATTACAGCAAAATGTTCAAAGAAAAAACCAAGTCCTGCCGCCGTCCACCGACCAGCACCTGAGACCCAACCCTGGCCACCTGGCATTGCAAGCTAACGATGCAAGCAATCACGCCGTCGTCAGCTAGCGACGTCGACTGCGGACGTCGACGAATCGACGTAGACCATCGACGTAGGCTATGGACACCGACCGACAATGTCGGCTAGTAGCATCACTACAGGTGTTAAACAAGCTTTTGCATCATGGCGACAAATTCGTCAAAGTCCACCTCCCCGTCGCCGTTAGTGTCGACTTCACCTATGATCTGCGCCCACTGTTGGTCGTCGACGTCCACGAGGATGCGCTTCAGCTCGTCAGCGGCAATAGTTCCCGAGCCATCCACATCGAAAAGGTTGAAGGCTGCACGCAGTCGGCCTTTGGACAAGAGGACCTTTTTGTCCATGGCCACAGTGACGAATTCCGAGTACTCGATGTATCCGTTTTTGTCAAAGTCGACGGAAGCGAGAATGTTGTCGACCTCCTCTTCGATTTGTTCGTCGCTGAGGTTTTCGAGTTCCTCATCCGAGCCCTTTTTAAGTTTCATGAGTTCTCTATATCCCGCTATGAGTTCCTGGCGATCTAGCTGGCCGTCATCATTCGTATCCAGTTGCTGGAAGATCCGGAGCAGTTCCTTGGTCTCTTCCATGGTGGTGAGTTTACTGCCCATAAAGAGCAGGGCTGCTGAGGCGAGTTTCTGGCTCGCTCTGAACTTCCGCATATTGCTGAGGGCATTGAAGAGTCCGGGGGGATCGTTGGATGTAGTTTTCGACTCCGTTGTCCATTTGCGGATCCATCTATGCCCGAGTGCCTCCTCAGCGGAAATACGTTTTGCGGGATCGTATTCGAGCATTTGACGAATAAGCTCCTTCACGTCTGACGAAATTTGGCTCCACTCGGCAGGGTCGAAAGAGAACTTGCCCTTCTCGACTCTTCTCAGAATTTCCTGGTCGCTAGCGCCGCCAAAAGGCGGGTAGCCGCAAAGTAGGATGTAGAGGATAACGCCGCATGACCAGACGTCGCACTTCTCATCATACTTTTTGCGAAGTACTTCAGGAGCAATATAGTAAGCAGTACCCAGTCGGTCCATGAGCTTTCGTGATGGGTCAAAATGGCTGGATAGGCCAAAATCGACAATCTTGATCTGAGCATCTTTTGACTTCGATTCGAGCAGCAGATTTTCCGGCTTCAAATCCCGATGCACGATATGATGCCTGTGCAGATATGTTACGCCCGATAGAACCTGTCGCAGTATGTTAGCGGCATCTGCTTCCCCAAACTTTTGTCGGTTTATAATTTCGTCAAATAATTCACCGCCTTTGTAGCACTCCATAACCAAATAGTAATACTTTTTGTCGCCAAAGAACTCGTATAATTTCATAATGTTCGGATGGTCTAGACTTTTGACCACCTCCACTTCATCCAGCAGAGACCCCCCAGCACCTGGCGAAACTGACGATTTTTTTATAAACTTGATCGCACGCTCCGCATTCGTCTGTCGGTCCCGACAGAGCCATACCTCTCCGTATGCACCACTGCCCAACTTCCGTTCTCGGTGGTACCGCTCCACTAAAGTCCCTCGCTGCGGGTGTATAAACATCCCAGGGTCTATCGCTCGGTTCCCACTCGAAGCCGACGTCTGCGTAGCCGGCGTCATCTTCTGACCAGACGACCCAGACATCCCTTCGTTAGACTTCCGACGCGGCGGCGTCACCTTCTGCTGCGCCGCAGCCGGACCCGCCGCAGTCTGCTTCATCGGGACCTCCACCGTATTTGCCGGCGGCGGAGGCGGACTAGAGTTGGAACTGGCTTTAATACCGCCCTAAAGAGATAACAACATCTGCAAGCAACCATGCACCGACAAGCAACCATGCACCGACAAGCAACCATGCACCGACAAGCAACCATGCACCGACAAGCAACGGTGCACCCACTGTACAACAATGACCACTGGGGGGGGGCCGACTCGGGTAACCATCATTGGCGTGACCATCGCGTAACCATCATTGGCGTGACCATAGCTGGGGTGCCAACTGGTGCCACAACCGGTTAGCTAGCTAACTAGTTAGTCAACTAACTGACCATCTAGTTAGTTGATTAGCCGCCCCAGGGGATCGTAATGTAAGGGCGACCACGTTAAGACCGGGCCATTGCGCAGCCCCGGCCGGGAGCCTAATTCGGTGTCTTACAACCCCTGTGTCGGCGGCTGGTGGCAAGAGCGGGCCATAGATGCAGGCACCACACGGATGCCGGGTGCTCTTGAAAAACGGGCCTACCTGAGTTGAGGTCGTACATCCCATTGGGCAAAAAAAATTATTGATCTACTAATTTGTCGTCCACTGGAGGGAGGGACCTCGGCTCAGATCTGGCAGCTCACTTTGGCCTCAGTAACATCCATGACACCAATCTCACCCATTTTCCCTCTTGGGACAAGTGCCAGCTGTCGCGTCTTTTTCAACCACAATGTCGGTATCTGGAGGTTGAAGGGACCCGCTGTTGGGTGCGTGATAGCAACAAGACAACAACTTAAGGGCCCTTAAGCCCCCCAAGGTCGACCGGCCTTTAAGGTCGTCCGGCCTTTAAGGTCGCCCGTCCCCTTAAGGTCGCCCGCCCGCCCCTTAGGGTTGGCCACTCCTTGAGGTCGACCAAGGCACAGCGTGGGGGGCAATGTCAATTACAGAGGCCGTGTGGCCCACAGATATTTAAGGTCTGAAAGGGAGGAGGCGCCCAAGGGCGGAAAAGGTTTGTGGGATAATTATCGAGGGTCAGAAAGTAGGCCTCGATGAGAACCAAGCGGCCTGTGGGTGTGATATACCATGTCCATCGGCGGCAGGCGCCCTTGTCGGCAACGATGACGGAGGCCCAGTTGTGGGGATTTGTTCAGCTGGTTGGTTTGATATTTATCACTAGCAACTGTCGTGAAATTGTGGCTAATTGTCTCAAGTATGGCTGGGTTGTACATTGGATCCCGAAGACGGTGATTAATGTACAGAACCACATTGCCTTGGTGGTCGGGACTGGAATGGTAGTGGTACTGGCGCTAATTAGTTTCTGGGTAGAAGTGCGCCGAGGTGACCAGTTCTGCTCTTCGTGGGCGCCGGCTATAAAGGAATTGCAGCATATAGAATACGAGCTTCAAATGAGATCCAAGAAACACAACATCTTCAATCTTCATCGTGAGCTTAAAGGCCATTACGGCAGACTCTCCGCATCTGGTAGCGTCGCCACAGATGGACCTTCAGGCGGTAATGGTCCTTCAGTGGAAGGCAACTCGATGGTAACCCCAGGAATACTAACTGCCCTCGCATCGGATTCCGAACGTGTAAATACGCCGAAAACGTCCGATATCAAGACTGCTGGAGACAACTCGGACGCGACCCGGATGGACGCTGCTGGTCTCGATGCGAACACACCAGAGGGTGTAAGGGATGCTCTAGAATGCTCTAGAGACCTGGACTTGCCCCCCGATAGGGGTAGGGACGCTCAAAAGCCCCAGTCGGTCAAAATCGAAGAGACGGTCAAAATCCAAGAGTCGATGGCGGTCATCGCTGCTCCGACCGGATCAGCTACCGGGGCTCTGGGCAAGGTAGCTCGGGATAGAAAGAAAACTGCGGACAGCGACATGACTACGGTGGGGGGTGATCTGACAGGTGGGTCCGAGTTGAAGTTGTCTCCTGTCTCCGGTCTGCGGCAGCGGGGACGACCGGGTATTTCTGATAAGCAGAGTGTGTCGCCGAACATAAATTTGGATAACGCGCAATCGGAATCTTCGGACGACTCCATACGTGAAGCAGGGAGGAAACGACCCGCGGGTGGTTACCGCAAGAGGTACATTGACCCTACGAGGAACTTTGACATTTCAAACGTACTCAGCGTAGCCGAGAACTACATGCGCTCTCAACAGAAAAGAATCAACTCCATCAAGAACGAGGTTGGCGACCTCATGATGAAGTCGCCGCTAGTCGCCGTCTATAATAGACTGTCCATGCGTGTTACAGAACGCCACGTCGAGTTTGTCCACTCCATAAAAGCGTTCGTCCTTTGTAGCCTAATTTTTGGTGTTCCCTACGCTATTGTCCTGAGCACTGCCTTTGATCCACGTAAGCTATTGACCAAAACGAATGTGGCAGAATAACGTATTCTTGTAGTATCGTCTTTATTTCTCCTTATGCTGTCTTGTACGTGGATGCTCAAGATGATAAGTTTCCATCATACCTTACATGACTTGCGCTTAATCATTTTGTAAGCCATCATCACTGCTCCGACTGACTACGATTTTGCCTGCATTAATGTTCCGAAACTTCCAATCCGCTTATATAATGCACGTTATAGGTCTGATACAACTTCATTGACGGATATTATTCCTTTTGACGATGAACGCGCAAGTTATCTACACTATCCCTACTCCTTGAGTTTGAAGCATTTTGTGGTGTATCTGATAGCCCCGACTCTTTGCTTCCAGTTTAATTACCCCAGGAGAAAAGATCGAGATTGGCAGAAGATTGGAAAAGCAGCGTTGCAGCTGGCGTTTAGTTTAATCCTATTAAAGTATGGGTGCACACGTGTGTGCGATTTATATTATCTTGCCGTACTATCTTGACGGATAATTTGTTTAGGATTATATATGAGCAGTATGTGACCAAGGTGCTAGAGAATACATTTACATTGCGATATGGTGGCGAGGATGGGATGAAGATGGTGTTACATATGGTCGAGCGATTAATGAAGTTATCAATCCCAACTTTATATTGTTGGTTGCTGATGTTTTTATCGTTCTTCCATTACTGGATGATGTTCCTGGCGGAGATTACGCGTTTCGAGGATCAGCAATTTTATCGAGAGTGGTGGAATGCGACGTCATTGGAAGAGTATTGGCGTAGGTGGAATTTGCCGGTGCATCATTTCTGTATACGGCACGTTTATATCCCGTTGATAAGCCACGGCTGGTCAAGAACGGTGGCGAATCAAACTGTCTTCTTGCTGTCTGCGTTGGCCCATGAGTACATCGTGGCGGGGAGCCTGAAGCTTGGCTGGACGGGCCTGGTCTTCCTCGCATTCGTCATGCAAACGCCACTGTCTATCCTCACCTCCTCCAAATACATCCAAGCGAGACCTAAACTCGGAAACTCCATCTTCTGGATCGTCTTCTGCTTCACTGGACAACCCATGGGGGTACTCATTTTCTACTACCTCTGGAACGTCAAGGCCGGACTTCTACAACCAATCGACACCACCCAAGTCTTCAAACCTGCACCTCCATTCTAAACACCGCAATCCCAAACCCATAACTGGACGACCACCAATGACCGGACGACCACCAATGACCGGACGACAAGTAATTGAACGATCGCCAATTGGACGTCACAACGACCACAAGACAACAGCCTGAAACGAGAGCCTGAAACGAGACCCCATGACCTCCCTGTATATTTCACCGAACACTCGACCCCATCCCAACCACATTCCTAGCCTCTGTTGCGGTACGGTCAAGATAGGTGACCGAGCTCTGGATCCAGGCTCGGCGCCCTGCATGTTCGCACCCTCATACCATTTCGCGATTCTCCATCACAACGTAGCCATCATCTACAAAAAAAAAGTCACATACAGCTGAATTGAATGGTGAAATCACCGAAGCACTGGCCGGTGCTCTGCATATCTTACTTTTATCTGTAAGGTGTACAACCGCCGTGGCTAATGTGTGGACAATCAGAATGAGGAATATGAAGACGCAACATTCGACCACGAGGTCTCGAGGATTGAACCAGCTGGCGTCTCCTGTCAGATCTCCTGCAGCTACGAGAAGCACTTTTGGTGGGGCATCGTTCATGACCAACCGGGCTTGGACGTGAAAGTTCGTGTTGGACCTTCTTGTCAAATCGAAAATGAATAACGACATCACCACCGACCGATCAGAGAACATATTCTTAGCTCGGTAAATATCATCGGCCAATGACGATAGGTCATACCCTACCTGAATTATTCCCTCGTCATCAACCGAAGCCTCGAGTGGCTTCATAACTATACCTTCCCAAATATTGTCATTGGTGTACGGAACCAATATCGTTTTGAACTGGCTTAGCATCGTCTCGATGTCTTGATCGCTGGCCTCTTGCCGGGGGAGTAAAGGAACGGGGCGAAAAGAATCGGGCCCGGGTAGCACTGCTCCCCCGTATGGTGGCGGTGGTCCACCGAATAGGGGTGGCTGTCCTCCGTATGGCACTGGAGGTCCTCCATATGACGGCTTTCCGTATGGGATTGGTGGTCCTCCATAAGGGTGTCTTCCGTAAGGGGGTCCTCCGTAAGCCGGTCCTCCGTAAGCCGGTCCTCCGTAAGCCGGTCCTCCGTAAGCGGGTTCTCCGTATGGGGGTCCTCCGTAAGGGGGTCCTCCGTAAACCGGTCCTCCGTATGGGGGCTCGCCATAAGATGGTCTTGCGTAAAGGAGTCCTCCTCCGTGGGGTGGTCTATCCGCATCCGGAAGGACACTCTGTAACTCGCTGAGTCCCCCAGCGGCAAGGGGCTGGGAAGCCGGGTCATGTTCGATCCGCAGTTGCCTTCGTTTATCCAGTAAGGCTTGGGCCTCGACCAGAGCTTGGGCCTCGACCAGAGCTTGGGCCTCGACCAAGGCCTGTGTCTGGAGCGGTTCTTCCTGATTGCGTCGGGGCATCCAATGTTGGTGTCCGTGAAGCGAAGGTCCCGGGTATCGGCTCTGGTGGGCAAGCGGATCGCGTGGTACGTTCGGACTAGATGCTGAAGCAGCGCTTAATTGGGGCTTATCGATTGGCGGTTTATCTAGCCCAGACTGGCTCAGCGACTTGTTAGTTGGTCTTGGGGCAGTTAGTGTCAAAGTCAATTTGGGTTTGTGGATTGCGTGAAGGTAGCGAGGGATGTCGAGTGTCACCGAAATGAACCTGTCATTATTCAAAGTACCTAGATCCATAGATGTTTGATTCGTTCTTACCACAACGTCTGTATTGTATCCGTGGGCATCCGCAATACGCACCAGCTCCGGTATCGTGTTCTCATACCTAAAAACTTCGCAGCCCTTGCCGTAGGCAGCAGTGGAGGAGTTTGTATCATTTATGACTCTGGCTTCCAATCGAACGTCCGCTATGCGCTCTTGATCTCTGTTAACATACCCGACATACAACATGATATCGCGGATCTCAGTGTCTCCTCGCCTCAGTATGTTGGTGTTTGGTAGGGGTATTCGTAATTGTTGGTCTTTATCATTGTGGAGCCATTCGCAAAAATTACTATATTCGTAGCGCACGTGTGTGCTACCTCCAAATCGCCTCCGGTGGCTGAAAACCGCAAAGGCGTCGTGCTCTCCCTCGATATTCAACCTCGCCAGCATTACTGGCTTCACCACCTCATGCTTGGTTCGAACCGACACCGGCAGCCGCAGGAATTTGGCGATCTTGACATCCTCTCTCACAATGTCGTAATCCACGTTATGCTCGCTGATGATGATGGGCTCGCTAGGCGGCCGATGCCAGTCGTAGGTGGGTCCGCCCAACGCTGTGGCAAGCAGCAAACCGACCTTCATTTTCGGACGACAAATTCCAGTAAGCCCACCCGGTGGTCCCACGACTCGTTCCTTTATTGGTTGGCGTCCTTTCTTTATTGGTTGGTCGCAGGCGAATCTTCCAGAATTTCGTACCACTGTTGCTGGTTCTCTGTACGTTTCGGGCCTCCTGATACGGACCAGGCTACGATAAGTGCAGCTCTCACTGTTACGATTAGCGCAGATCGCGGTTTGACGAAAAGTGCAGATCATCTAAGAAAAGGGCAGACAGAAGACGTCTCACTACAATCTGGTTGAATCCATGTGCTCATTAAATGTCCACTTACAGACCAACGCTTAGGTGAATGGATAGCCCCGTGGATAGCGCCGTACTGGGCACGTGCTGAGGGGTTCTAGATGTAACACCACCAGCGCAAGACAAACGCCGATCTCTCGGCGTGATTGGACGTTTGATTGGTCGGTATGATTGGTCGTCGCGCTATACGTGGAGAGTTAGATGGGTCGATGGGTGAACGATGGTAAGTGGTTGGGTGAACGATGGTGAGTGGTTGGGTGAACGATGGTGAGTGATTGGGTGAACGATGGTGAGTGGTTGGGTGAACGATGGTAAGTGGTTGGGTGAACGATGGTGAGTGATTGGGTGAACGATGGTAAGTGGTTGGGTGAACGATGGTGAGTGGTTGGGTTTTATACTTTTTAAAAAATGGAGGAAGTTCAAACGCCTGAGCATGGAGGTGGTGGTTTGAAGGACAGTGCACGCACTCCGAAGACCGAGTACGCGGCGACGAGTGAATATTATGAAGAATATGAGACATCACCAGGCTATGAGACTGGTTATGAAGAAGGGGAGTACCCGCAACCAATCGAGTACGACGAGGATGTTCCAGTTTATTGGGACATGGCAACGGAATGCTATTACTATTATGGCTACGTTCTGTATTACGATGACGAGCAATCTAATTATTATTATTTTAGTCATGAATCACAGGATTATTGCTACATTGAGCAGGCAACCTTGGACGCAATCAATGCGAACGAAATATATTCATATAACAATGACACTGGGGAGTACGTGATGGAGGGCGGCTGGGAAGAGGGCGGTACCCCGGCGGAAGGTGGGGAAGAAGCTGTGGAAGAAGGTGAGACTGAGGAAGGTGAGGAAGAAGGTGAGGAAGAAGGTGAGACTGAGGAAGGTGAGGAAGAAGGTGAGACCGAGGAAGGTGAGGAAGAAGGTGAGACCGAGCCGGAGACGGTGGCAGACCCCATGGATGTGCCCAAGGGTGGGTTGTACGGGATGGGTCTGGCGGACGCGGGTGCTCCAACAGAACTAAGTCCAAGTATGGCGGCGTTGCTGGAGCATGTGAAGGCATTGAATGCAGAGCCTGACCGGTTCCCTAATTCGATTGATTCATTCAGTACTTCTTATTATGCATTGGCGATTAAAGGGCACAAGGACTTATACGATATCTGTTCCGAAGACACGTCTGTTTTGGACGTGTATAAAACACGACCAAACGGGTCCTTCGTCATTGGCAGGTGCAAGAGAACGGTAGACGGTCTCATCAAGGGCACATTAGAACTGAAGTCACTTGCACCTTCCGAAGTGAGTTCCGTAGCCGGCGTTCTGCAATCACTATCTCTACCACAACTCTCCTTCATACGATTCCAAGCTCAAAATTCCCCATGGCTCAAATCACCCCAGCCTACCATGAAAGGATTCGCTATCAAATGCGATGAATGTATTGCCGAAAAACTCATACAATATGCTCTTGCTCAGGCCACTTTTGGATTGCCACCTGAAAGCGCATCTCGAAATCAACAACTACTTAAAGCTATGGGTACCCCCAACGTCAAACAATGCGGATCCTGGGCAATCTACTGCATGGGTGCACGCCATGAACTCAATAATGCCAAAGATCGAATCATAGGAACAGACGGAATGAAACATTCCTGGTGGTGGCTCACCTCTAGCTCTAGTCCCGCCATCAAGGGAGAATGCCAGGAAAACGACATCAAAGGAATCTTCTTCCGCCTCCAAATCAACCCAACCAACGGAAAACTAGATTTGAAGGCCCAATTTGACCGGTAAGACTCGATGATACTTTCGCAGACACACGTGCGGAACATACACGCGCGGAACACACACGCGCGGAACATACACGCGCGGAACACACACGCGCGGAACATACACGCGCGATACACACACGCGCGATACACACACGTGCGGTAAATACACTAATATTTCCGGAGTGATGTTTCGGGTCTCCGCGTTTACTCTCGCACACTCAGATTAACGCCCGCCCAGTAGTAGCACGTGAGGGGTAACACTACATGGGAGATGAATTTCCAGACTGAATCACCCATCCGTCTGGGAATCACCCATCCATCTGGGAATCACCCATCCATCTGGGAATCACCCATCCGTCTGGTATAAATTGATGATGTTTAGACCTCAATCATCGGAGGTCGTTTACCGGTTAGTGGCAGGTCGAGGTGAGAGTTATGTGAGATGGGATATAGCAGAGATCAGCTCTTGATTTTTTGGGTGTTTTGGGGACTTGATGTCTCGGTAGTTACAGAGTTGAAGTTTTGTTGGTAGTGTTTATGGACCCCCAACAGAGAACCCGACAGAGCGAAGGGTCCGCCGCTCCACGTAGCAGCAGCACTACTTCTTCGGGATTATATTTATCGGCTGGCGGCAAACGAGAGCAGGTCAAAGCCACGGTCCGGAATGTGCTGAGACGCAAGAAGGAAGAGGAGGATATAACACCTCGGAACTTCGCCCGACGTCAAGGTACGCACTCCCTCGCCCGACGTCAAGGTACGCACTCCCTCACCCAACGTACCGTGTTTGTTTCGTCCCATATTTTGTCACGGAGTTTGCAGGTGTGTCTTCCAACGACGAGGGTCCCGCGGAGGAGAGTCCCAGTCGATGGAACCCATTTTTCCGAAGGCACCACAACAATGTGCTTGAGAGCAGCAAGAGCAGCGTGTGGAAGAAGGCGATCCACCGCATCCAGGGCGGGCGGAGTGCTGACAGCGATACGAGCACGAAGGCAACTGACTCGCGGATGCAGTCTGCGTCGCCGGAGCACTATAGTGCGCGACACGGTGCGCGCAGTTCGGTACCCACGAGTTCAGCGCCTAGTGTGCACGGCGGCTCAGCGCAGGTTGCTAGAGTGGCTGTGGTTTCCGCGTCTACGAGTCAGCTGCCGAGTCAGTTTGGATCGCAGCGTAGCGAGGCTGCCCCTCGTCCGACACTGCGCAGCTCGAACCGCTACTACGTACAGCAGACGCCTCAGAACACACGTGTGCGTGCCGCCTCCCGTCCGCGCTCGGTGGCTAGACAGAGCATCAAAAGCAAACAACCATATTTGACCGAGAAGGGTACTCCGGTGGACCTGACTCGTTTCTTTGACCCGAAGCCGTGGAACCCCTCCAGATTTACTCGCTTGCAAAGACTAGCTCCCGCTATTCACGGCGAGGTCAGCCTCTTCCACGACAACGTGGAGAACCGGAAGGTGGTAATCAAACAGCTCACCAACAGCAGTGTGCGACCTCGCGGCCCTCAAGAGCTCGAGAACCCACTCGTTGAAATTGGTGCCATGAGCTACCTCTTTAGCGACCGTGCGGTTTATCCTGTCGATTTGATCGCGAAACTCGAAGGTGTCTATCGTGATGACCTTCACACATACCTCGTCACAGAGTACTGTACCGACGGCGAACTCTTCAAGGAGATTGTCAAGCGCAAAAGTCTCAGCGAACGACATGTGAAGGCCATCGCCCTGCAATTGGCTCTGGCCCTGCATTCACTGCACAAGAACGGCATCTGCCATCGTGACGTCTCTCTCGAAAATACTCTCATCCAGTCGGACCACACCGTTCGCCTCATCGACTTCGGTCAGGCTGAGTGCTGTCATGAACCTGATGGTAGCATGAAACTGATGCATGGTTCTGCAGGTAAGGCCTACTACCGCGCACCAGAAATGCTACGTGGTCCCTACCATGGCCCGCCCGTTGACGTCTTTGCTCTTGGTGTCGAAATCTTCATCATGGCCATCGGCTCGCCCCCCTGGGCTAAGGCTTCCCTACAAGACCAACGCTACCGAAGCCTCACCAAATATAGAACCTCCCTCGACATCTCGCTGCGCAAATGGGGCAAGCGAGATGGACTCAGCGACGCATTCGTCGACATCCTATCAACCATCTTCACCAGCAACCCCCAACAGAGACCTACCATCGAACAACTACTCTGTCACCCCTGGTTCTCTTGTAAATGACACACACATACGTTGCACACAAATTGCACACACACACATTGCACACACGATATGCGTCCACTGCTTGTCTGTTTATTTACAAACAACCCACCCGTTGTATAAACCCGTTGTATAAACCCGTTCATTGTAGACGACGCAAGCGTTTGGACTTGGGTCGACCAGAGAAACGTGTCCAGAACTATCCGTGAACACGCGGATCGTGTCGAGATGTACCTGAAATCCCATCCGCAAGGGGAAGACCTCGTGGATGAGGATGAGCGATAATGGCCAGCGATTTTTTGTGCCGAAGAATGACGAAATGACTGGCCAGACATCACCTCCGAAAAAGGCTTTGTGTAGAGAGCGCGTTTGTGACACCCGCGCGCGTGTGTGTGAAAGCTGACAGGATGCAGGACGACGAGAAGGTGTCTGTGGGAACGATCCAAGGTAAGCGTCCTAGAGGAGGCAATCCCTGGAGTGTTGGGAACGAACGGATCCTGGGAATGCACGCGCTAGAAAATTACATCGAAATATTCAGTCACATGGATGGTGGATCAATCTCGAACGTAATTAGCTAGCTGCTCGATTGATGGTCGTGGAGGCCGCGGCTTGGCCCTCGTCGGCCTGTACTGTATTACAATATTCTATTCTTACTCTGTCTGTCTGTCCGTTCAGCGCCTGCGTGAGTCAACACGGGCAGGTGACTCTGCACACACGTGTTTGCACACACGTGTTTGCACACACGTGTTTGCACACCGGTACGCTTTTGGCAAGTTTATTGTCAGGTTCCGCGCCTTATTTTCATGTCACTGTAGGTGCGCTGCCGCGCGAGTGTACGAATCACTGTATTAAAGCGACCAACCGGTTTTGGCTGCCGCTTGACCTAGTTTGTCTTGAAGAGGTGATTTTGTTTGTGATACGTGCCATCACAGCGCACGAACATAGACCGAGGCTTTGCCCGGCTATACGTGCCGAAGTGTTGCTGTGACAGGTATTATTTTGTGTGTCAGCTCCTCATCGAGTGATGCCGAGAAATTCATCTCGACCCCCTTGATGAGTCCCGAGCAGCACTTGTAAAGAAGTTATTTGTGGTCAATGATACCTCCCCCTTTCGGACGATACCGAAGTGGAGGGTGTCACGCAGCATGGAGGCGTGCGTACTTTTTGCGTAGGCAATAAATGTTGCCAACCCCACTAGCTCCAACCCGTCAAATACGCCCGTCAAATACGCCCCCCAGAGAACGGGTGGACCCCTCCTGCTGTCACCCTTCCTTCACCCTTCAACCCATTACTATAACCATCCATTCTCACTCACCAAAAAACCATCCTATGATCTGACGGCGTGCTCTCCGCTTCGGTGGATGGCTCCATCCAAGTCAGATCGTCACTCCCGATCATGTTCGATCGATGGATTTCCACTTGGTAAGTTTCTCACCACATCTCCCGAGCCAGCCTCCTCCATCCGGATAGGAGTCATAGCCCGATTCGATGCACGGTTCGAGTCTGCCGCCGTATGCCTTCTCCATGAATCCACTCGACAGTTGGCGAAGTGGAATGGCTGAAGAACAACTTTCCACGGTGTCCGCGCTACTAAATGTCATAAGGAAATACTTGCTGAAAGTTGCACGGGACTCCAGTTTAAAGGCCACTTGAGACGGTGTGCAACTAACGTCTTTGGAAATAACGCGCTTGCCGCTAACCGTCTTCAAGTCTGGATCTCCTGGCTTGTCAAGACACGCGTGTTGGCCACACGCGTGTTGGCCGTGTTGGCCACACACGTGTTTGCCACACACCTGTTCGCCACGCACGTGTTTGCCACACGTCTGTTCCTCAAACATGTGATTGTAAACGTGTTGGTCTACCTCACTCGAATCTCCTGCAAGCAAGGAACTGTGTTTCCCTTGCGCAGAGAACGTAACATGCGATGAACCCGCTCTTACGTCAGCATCAATGTTGTAGTTGGCAGTCGATGATTGACTGCGCTCTTCGTCCCTGATCAGCGAGGCAGTCTCTGCCGTGGTCCTGGCGTTGAACCTGGGCAGGGCGACATTCTTTTTGAACCAGGCCGGCCTTGGAAAGCGTTTGGAGGTGCAAGGACTGACTGGCCTAGTAGTGACCAAGATATATGTGCTGCTAGATGCAGTCGAGTCGCCACTTGATCTAAGGGTATCGGCCACGGATGAATTCTCAAACGACGCTGGGAGCAAAGCCTCCTCCGTTTCGTCTGGAAGAACTAGCGCGCCGTCCGCAAGATCTTCACCGTCCAAATTCCTTGTTTGCAGCATCAGAAACAAGTCTTTCTCGTTCCCCGAGAGATCGGGTTCAGGAAAATTGCGAGGGACCACTTGCATTTCAGTGGCCAGCCTGTCTAAGCTTCCGACCACCGACCAGTCAACAGTCCCATCTTCGGCGACTCGACTATCAGTCGTTCGATCCTCAGCCACTGAGATGTCGATCCCATCTGCCATATCATCTAAAGAGTCACCCGTAATTTCAACGGCATCATTGTTGCAGGAATAATTTTGAGAAAGAGATCTAACGCAATACAGAACATGTTCCGAGTTATCCAGGTCCGTTGTTCTGGAACGTAGGCTCCCGTCGGCGGTCTTAGATCTTTTCGGAGTGCAGCTCTCTGTGATTAACCGCTGCACTGTAGTTTTCCGAGGGGCCAGTCGGACCTTGGCTATATCCGGAAATAGTTCATCTAGCGTAACAAATACCGGTATGTCTTTTTTGATAAGTTTCGAGTTCACATTCATGGATAAAAAACTCGCGCCTACCACGATCATTAATTACTGGTCGGCTAACGTGACCGTCTGCACTGGCGGATAGACACTGGTGAATAGATAACAATATTTGCGCATGTTAGCGCACACGTGTGTGGCGCGCACTAAACACGTGTTTAGCATGTATTTAGAACGCAAATGAGAAGACGGCTGGCTATTGAAGACGGCTGGTTATGGAAGATCGGTGGTTATGGTAGATCGCTTGTTATGGTGAATCGCTGGTTATGGTGAATCGCTGGTTATGGATGTATATATTTGCCGCATGGTAGATGCTGTATTATTGTAAATGTGGAGAGGATGTCTTTTAGAAACATTAAAGTAAATCCTTTAAGGAGCTTGTCCCATGTTTTGGTAGCGGAGATATCGTAGAGGAGCGGACTAGTCTCATGAAAGGGGGCAGTTGACTTAACGTTCATGATATGTCGTATACAGTTTATGTATAGGTAACTGTCGGCCAAGCTAGATTTGGCGTATTCCGGTTTGACTATATCCGCTGGAGTCAAAAGGTCGGCGTTGTTCTTTAATTGATAAGAGCCCCACAGGAACGGAATGAATTGGTGGTCGTCAAGGCCCCAGACGCCGCGGCTGCCAGCGGGCTCCAGTTGATATTGAATCTGAATTTGGCGCACTAGCTCCAGATACCGCATAAAGACACCTAGGACAATCTGACAGCCCTCATGCTTGTGGGACGTCTTCAATATTTCTTCAGATATACCCAGTGATCGAGCTACGGGGCACTCGGCCGCCCGGAGTAGCTCATTTGACTTTAGGAGCTGGCTTGACCTACGACCGCGAGCGGCCTTAGTCAAATCATCAGTCGACTTGCATGCCTCACTCGAGCAACTCTCAGAAGACCGCTCCCCCACACTTTCTTCCTCTTCACCCAGGTCTTGTAATACAAGGTCCTCCTGATAGAGAATGAATAAGGCGCAGATGAAATTCAACTCGTGACCTGATCCATAATCCAAACGAATGGGATTACCGAGCGACCGCAACCAGTATACTGAGAGCTCCTCCATCACAGTCGCAGCCCATTCATCCAGTCTCTCAGGGGGGTCCGAAACAGGAAGGTCCGAAACAGGAAGGTCGGCAACAGGAGGGTTAGAAACATTGGAGTCGGCAACAGGAAGGTCGGCAACAGGAGGGTTAGAAACGTTGGTGGAACAGTCAGCATGTGAATCCTCCATCGCCTGATAATCATTTAAACGGATTTTCTTGAGTTCAATCAGGTGATTCCTCAGATGTCTATCCATGAGACGAGGTAGAGCGGCTTCAACCTTGCCCATGAAATCCCTGTACGCTAGATTTCCGTACCGTTGGTGCTTCGGGTCGTCAACAGGCGGCGTAGCTTGACATAAACCCCTGATATCATTCAACAGAGCCATATACCCCTTGAGTACCGGGTTAGTGACATTGTAGCCTAAGCCTTTACATCCCTGGATACTCTACGAAGAATCTTTGTGGACACCACGCACGCACGACTTAGACACCACGATGAAATTCATGATAGTGCACGTACTTTACCCAGCAATGCAATAAAAGCGCTTAGGTCTGCTGCCACAGGTCCGGCTGCGAATTTCTGGACCTTTTCCGAAGTTGTCAGTTGGGGATAAGGAGGTGCCATTGTCGTCGAAAAAAATTTCCTGGTCGTTTGGACGTCGTCACCCAACTCGGTAGCGAACCGTGCATGAGCTAACGCATAGCTTTTGCATGTTCCCTGGGCAAGTTATGAGCCCAGGACTGACTTGGATCATTATGTCATTCGCTCATTTATATCAATGGCTTGTTTATATCATTCGGTCGTTGATATCAAGTCGGCGGCGCCTTGGTGGTAGCGAGTCTGTTGTCAACCTAGGTGCGTCGGCGGGATAGGTACGGGGATCGCCTGTATCGTGTATAATCACTTTTTGGACAATATCGTACCACTCCGCCGTTGACTGACTTATCGCTGGGTTACCGACAAGTTGACTTACCTGCCCATCACTCACCGAGTAGACTGGTTTACCAGTCAAGAAAAGGGTCTTCGTGCCGTTGTATGGGTATGGGTTTCTCATTGCTTTCTGAGTACGTGTTGAAATTGTCCGCACTGGCAGGTACGACGACAGGTACGTAGGGTGCTTCAAGTTCTCTGTTATACAGGTCATCGAAATCAATAGGTGAGATGAACCGGTGCTTCTTAATAGATTCAGCTCCTTCTCTGAGTGTCCCATATCGTTTGGAAAGATCGTGCTGTAGAAGATGTTTAACGAGGCTTTTAGCATCCGGATCGAACCCTTTAGGGAAAAGGATCTTTCCAGCCAGTATCCTTTGGTATATTTGCATAACATCGTCATCCGTGTATGGAGTATATCCGGCAATCATCTCGTAAATAAGTATACCCAAAGTCCACCAATCCACACTCTTACCATGACCCTTATTCAAAAGTACTTCCGGTGCCACATATTCAGGTGTCCCACACAGAGTATATGTACGCTCCGGTACATGTTTAGCGAACCCAAAGTCCGTCATCTTAATATAACCATCCGTATCCAACAGTAAGTTCTCAGGCTTCAAATCTCGATACAATATATCTAGTGAATGCATGTACTCGAATAAACTGGCGACACAAGCCGCATAAAATCGCGCTGCATCCGGAAGAAGACGCTTAACCTTCCGCAAGTATGTAAAGAACTCACCACCTGGTACAAATTCCAATACGATATACAGATAACACTCATCCTGAAATGTGTTCAGCAATCGCACCTAAAATACATCACAGTTAGTCAGGGGGCTTGGCTTACGACCATCGGGTGTTGGAGTTGAGCCAGAATCGACTTTTCTTGTCTGATATGGTTAACTTGCTTCTGTTTGATTAGCGAGCTCTTGGTCAGTCGTTTGACCGCGACCGTTTCAGCTGTCAGGTCGCCATCTGGCCCTTTGATCCGTGCCCAGAAAACTCGACCGTAGGAGCCCGTGCCTATTGTTCTAACTAGTTTCATGTTCTGTGGGTCGTAGGGGTCGTACTCCGCCGACCTGCAAGTGGCCTTGGGTGGGCGGCGAGCCTCTCTCGAAGACGTCCCCTCTATATCTTAAAACAAAGAGATTTAACCCTCCCTAACTAACTACGCACTTACCCTGGTCAGTCGACCGAAATCTTTGGAACATCCGTTTCACCCCTTCCTTGAATGGCATCGCATGTGTGTCTGGGGGGAGGGAGGGGCACCCGTCTTAATTAATTAGGACACAAGCCACCGCGCGAGGTGGCAATGTGAGGGATGGCAGAGCGTGACCTCCTCCAGGATACCATACAAACCCACTCTCGATCGTCAACGTTAACCAAAGGTGACCAAACTTCTCGCACGCGTTTTTCAAATCCTGAATCACGATCGTCGGCTCAATCTCCGCAAACGACCTCGTTGTCAAGCGGTTGCCACAACCTACGACCTCGTACCCCCGCTTGCAACCGACGCCACGGCCACTGGAGCGCGTACCAACGTCCGTCAACATCCTCGTGTTGGTTCCGTCCGTCAACGTCGTCGTGTTGGTTCCGTCCGTCAACGTCGTCGTGTTGGTTCCGTCCGTCAGCGTGGTCGTGTTGGTGTTACCTGCCGTTTCATTGGTCGTGTTTTCGAGTGTGTGCTCGCGCACATAATCCCGGTACACTTGCGTGCGCGTAATGTCTTTGAGAGTGCCGGTGACGAGGTATGGGTCGCCGCCCTCGAAGGAGCATTTTGAGGTGCGGAAAGGAGGCACTGGTACGGTTTGATTCAGGGAGTACGAACAGGAAAGGAAAATGCTGCGGCGATCTTTCATAGGCAGACTGAGAACGTTCACATTCCAGTCCACGTAACACAACCTCATGGGACGTCGATCGAAGTGCTCGGGAACCCCGATATTCACATAGGCCAGTACGCCACTACCCGCCAAGGCTCGGTCCACGATGGTGCTGTCGTTCTTCAAAGAAACTTGAGTAGTGTTGATGGAACGCAACTGGGTGGGCAGCCCGTCGCGACTTCCGGTAGAGTCGGCACCTGCACTGTCGTCGTCGTCCTCGTCGCCTCTAGTTGCGTATTCCGCCTGGCTTTTTTCCACTTGGTTCTTTTGCGCGGCTCCCAGGGGCAGATCCCAGTCGTAGTTTCTTTGCCGAATATCCACCCGTTCCTCTTGCAAGTGGCGTTGAAGGTGGCGTTGAAGGTGGCGTTGAAGGTGGCGTTGAAGGACACGCTCAACGAGCTCGGGGGAAAAGTCATTGCTGACGTCAACTTCTACGATGGGCTTGCGGTTTGCAGGGAGCAATAAGGCAGACGTTCTCGAGAACAATGGTCCTTTAAGTTGCTGACATTCCGCTGTAATATGGGAAGGAACCAATTCCAGTTGTGCCGCAACGCTGGCACGGTTGTAAGCCATTAAAGAACCACCAAACGATCCCTCCAAAGTCCAGTTCGACGGCGAGTCGTACTCGAGCTTTATAATTGTTGAATCAAACTCTACTTGGTCGAACACAACCATGGGCCTGAACAACATAAGGCCTCCCAGCATACCCAATAGAAACATGCCCAATAGGGAACCTAGAACCTTTAACAAGCGGAAGTGACTAGGCTTGGTTGACCCATATGTTGGAAAACGCTCACTCAATGAGTCCCGGATGTCAAGTACTCGATTCGCTAATGTATGAGTGTAATCTCGTCGTAGCAACTCGGACGGCAACTCCCTCCGACTCAATTCCATCTTGAGCATGTCCTTCCTCATAGAGATAACTCTTGCCAATTCCCTGCGCTGCGTCAGCCTTCGACGGATAGGACCGTTGACCAAGGGCCGACTTGTTGCCTGACTATGGGTAGGGCCATCATCCCACGCGTCGTCGTCCACGTCTTCGTTCTTGCTCACATCCTTACTTCTGCGTCCTTGCGATCTCTTTGCTGGACGTTTGTTTCCTGAAGCTCTACTTGCTGGACCCCTATGTAGGAGGTCATTATTGTTATTCTTTCGGCCCATGCTAGGATACGTGCGAGTCTCATATGCATACAATTTAATATTTTCCACGTCCAGACTCGGATCTCGCAATACCATTGAGACAGTCTCAACCGTGTACGGTACATAATCTCGCGGCAGGCAGAGTTTACTTATAATGCCCCATAACGACCATATAAACGGAGTAGGACGCGGACATTCGCTATGTAGTACGTGCCCCAATCTTCTCGCGCCCGTTGACTCATGGAACCCCAACACACCTCCTGGCTCCGGGATCATATTTGGGAGCGTCGTCACACGACCATCCGTCAAGGGCTGGTCAAGCGCATCCATGTACCGACGACGCATCGTTTTCATACTAGCTCGACGAGGAGTGGCAACTTTCAACTTAGGTGGCCGAGGCCGGGGACTTCGGGGTTCTGCCCGAACTGCAGGACGCTCCTCATCCAGAATCGTTTCGTCTCCAACTCCCGATGTAAGATAATCCCGCCCAAGCTCTTGGACTGCGGCCTCGACACTCTGAGTACCGATTAGCCAGAAATCATCGCTCTCCTTCTCGCTATAACTTGAGTCACTAACTACATTGTCCCGCGGAAGCATTTACGAGCATTTAACTTCATTTAAGAAAAAACACACGCGTGTGCTCCTTGCAAAATGAAGGCGCTCATCATCGAGAATTTCGTCGTGGTCGTTGCTCTTGGCATACGTGACTCAGCCGCGTCGGCAGATGCAACGGGAGGCACTCCGCTGGATCCCCCAGCAGTTTTTAACGCCCCGCCGTATTCTGTGATCAACTATTTTGCGCCCTTCCCCTATAAATCCATACAGGATGGGCTTGATGAGTCCCGACTGACACAAGAGACGTTCAAAGAGTAAAAATCTAAAGCCAATCAATGAACCTTCATGAAGATCCATCAAAACTGCCCTGGATGAAAACGCGGCCAAGGCGGCAATGAGACGAATCGATAGCACGCTGGATGCTACCTCTAAAAGGTACGTCATCGCAATTAACTTACAAAGATTTAAATCAGCATTGCCGACACCGCAGAATCATTCGACAACATCGTGCAGACGATTGGTTGGCTGGGACGGGACTGGCTGAAAATTGCTAGGCTTCAATAACACCTGAACTTCGACCACCCTTAGGCCTCGACCACCCTTAGACTTCGACCACATCTCCATGGACGGCTGGTGTTATTGGCAGCTAGTTCCACCGACATACGGCGTTAACGTATGAACAGGGGAGGGGGCCTTTAAGCATCTGAGAAGGCTAGGGGGGGAGGGGGATTATCCGAAAGACGGCGATGGGAGATTATCCGAAACAAAAAGGTGAAGACAGGTGTTGGTCTTGGGGAACCTAGACCAGATGAATGAGAAAACGCTGGAGACGGGCGAGCTGAAGGGACGCAAGAATCTTCCCACCTTCTCCCTTTTCGTTGCAGGGCCGAAGGCGAAAGCCATACCAAGCCGAGAATATGCAAATTCCCCCTTGACGATCGGCTCGCTTCAAAGAAAGCAGAATCAGAATGTTAGAATAGTCAGTCCTGTGGTCGGAATTGGAGGGAATAGTCGAGGTACTGCAAAGATGAGCCGACGACAGCACAAGCTCAATAGCAAGGAATCCATTGCCAAGAATAAACTCAGTAGCAAGGAATCTATAGCCAAGAAGGCTGGCACTCAGGACTCAAACCTATTAACTGATGAGTCCAGGGATGACCTCCAAGGTGGCACTAAAGATTATGACTACTCTAGACATGCCAGAAATGACTCCGACGGGAGAAATGACTCCGACGGGAGAAATGACTCCGTAAAAAGTTTCAAACAGAAACAGCAGGAGACAGGTGAATCGAGCTTCGTCGGGGCATTGGCCGGACTTCAACGAAACTCAACGATAACTACGAATACTTGCGCAGCGGACAACTCCCCTACCCGACCACTCCCAACGGCCACTGGCGAGCACATTAGTCCACAATCGAACGATCATTTGAACGATCATTTGAACGATCATTTGGACGACCGTTTGCATAGGCCGCTGGTCTCGTTTTTACTGGACTCGGCTTCGCTGGACTCGGCTTCGCAGGACTCAGCCCCCCAGGAACGCGTTTTCGAGGACTCGGCTTCGCAGCAACGGGTTGTAGAGGACGCGCCGCCTTCGCAGGAACGGGTTGTGGAAGACACGCCTTCGCAGGACCAGGTTTCACAGGGCCCGGCTTCGCAGCAGGGAAATCAATATTCCGTGACTGAATACGACCGTTTGTTGCCGACGGTAGATTTGAAGTCCTCGAGCTCGTTGTTGGGCGGGATCTCGCTGTTGAGGAAAAGAAGTAGCCGAGCATCGAACGAAACGTCCATCACTGCCGGGGGCCTTCCGGAGGTGTGCCGAGAACCGCCGCTTACGTTGCTGTCGTCCACTCGTCAGTTGACGAGCGCTCAGGCGACCAGGGGGTTTGAGCAGGGGGAGGTGCAGACGAGGGAGGGGAAGGACAACGAAGCAACGGGGGGCGAGGGGACGGGTGGCGAGGGTGCGGGTGGCGAGGGTGCGGGTGGCGAAGGGACGGGGGGCGAGGGTACGGGGGGCGAGGGTATGGAGGGCGAGGGTACGGAGGGCGAGGGAACCATGGATCACGCGGAGCGGGGAGTGGGGGCTGCTTCAGTTTCAGATGCCACGGGAGAGGGAGCGGAGAGTGGTTCGCTTCAGGAGCGTTTGAGGCGTCTGAAGGAGCGTAGTTTGGCGCAAGAGAGGTTGAAGAAGAGTATTTTGGACGACTAGGGTTCTGGAGAACGGTACTGGAGGATTTAAGGTTTTGAAGGACGTAGAGGTGCACTGAAGAATATTCTTGCTCCTGTTCGATGGACGAGGAAGTGCTAATTACTTCAGGAGGGCCGATTCGGCCGGAGGTGGAGTCTAGGAGGGCCATGTTGTCTGCTAACCGTTTTGTATCGTTGTTGGTGGAGTACGGATTGACGAGTCATTTCCGGAAGTACCACCCGACGTACACTAAGTTAGAGGAGAGTCCGGTGTATCGTTTCTGTACCGTGAAGCCTGCGGGTGCCGGTGGACCGGCGGCCATAGTGGGTCGTTCGCTGTTTATTCAGGTGAATGTGGAGACAGCGACTCTGAAGTTGTATGATATGGTGAAGAAAGTGTTGATAAATTGCGTAATTGATGTTTCTAAGGCTCCAATCAGCTGTCTACGCAATGACCCCGATTTCCAACACCTGTTCCAGGATCTGGTGGATCTCTCACCGCCGTCAGAGGTCCTCGTACCATCACCCACTTCGGAATGTTTCCTCTTCTGGATGACGGATAAGCCTGCACCTATGATCATGTGGGCGGAAGACTCCGAATCTCTCAAGGCTGCCAAAATCGTGTTCCTGTTCGTATTCACCTATAGAAAACAACTACAAGCAGAGATTGACGTCCAAGATCAATATTGCAACATTATAGAAGACGCTCATCTTGCCCAACTCGAGAATACAGATACTTACAATAGATAAATCATAGAACAGATTCATAGAACAGCTTAACAGAATGTGTTAATAATCAGAAGCTCGTTTGTATCTCGTTGGTATGTGTCGTCGGTATGTCGGAGTCGGGTCAGTGTGTGTTGGTGTTGTGTGTGGAGAGGTAAAATAGAGAGAAGGTGCATAATACACCTCCTAATATAAAATGAAGAGTGATGATGTATCGAGACATAATGGAGGAGACATCGTCAAGGGAATTTGGCGGCGGGGAATGAGTAGGGAAAATCGTGAATGTGATCCTAATGATCGAGAAGTGAGGTGGTTCCCTACGGCATTTCGTAGCAAGATATTGGAGAGGTCGTATATAGAGTCAGAGAGGAGGAAGTTACGACAGCGGACTGTTCCTTTATCAATATTATGGACTATGATTACAGTTGTTTATTGGCTAGTTTTCGCTCGGTTTGTGGATCGTAAAGGACATTGGAGCAAGCATCATATTATTTACCATTCGTTGAATCTGGTGGCGGTGGTTTCATGTGTAGGAGTGAGCCTATTTCAAAGGTCTACTACGGCATGGGCAGAATTTTCGGTATTACTATTGATCTCTATTCCTTCCTTGTGTTGGGCGTTATGGTCCGGTTACTGTAGTGCTGTATTTCATAACGTTAGTTCGGATATGGAGGACGTACAGTATAAGGTATGGATGGATAACGTGGTTCATACGTTTGTCATGGTTCTTCTGGTATCTTTCGACCAGATTTTACAAGTGCGAGGTTGTGTGGCAATAGTAACACACACCTTGCTTTTATTGTGTTACATTGCCTTTCGAATTCAAGGGATCATAACACACTATCGGGTGAAGACAGGCGACGTCGCCTTCGTGTATACCGACATTTTGAATATTGTTGTTGTCGCCGGTCTGACAATTATGGTCTTCTCCGGCCGAACGATTCACGAGATGAGAGAAAGAATTCGTTTCATTCGGAATAGAGAGACGCGGCGGAAATTGAGTTCCATGAAACAAGAACAACTCCGTCATCACGTCAAGCATGGAGACGCCACCACCGCCGTTGAACGACTTGTTTCCATGTTGAGCAAGAGCCAGCTTGAGGTACGCGAACTTGCATTCGAAATATCGGGGTACGGAGACATCCGTATGATAGAGGCAGACGAAATTCTTCGGCAATGCAAAGACCTGGTCATCAACTGCGACAATCTATTCAGCGTGAAAGACCTTGCCGGTCACACAAACCGTACCGTTTATGATATCGCTACCATGTACTCTACTAAGGCTTCAGAGTTCGTGCTGCCCCACTCCGCCCGTGTGCCCACAGGCGGCGAGTGGCTCACTACCATGGACATCAACACCCATTTCAGTGCCTATGGAGACCTCTATCTTGACACACCCAAAGCCGACTTCGACAGCGTCAGAAACGCCCTCAAAGACCCATTCTCATACGACACTATCACTGTTACCCAACAACCACAAGGATTCCAAAAATTCGGCTACGCACTCATTACACCGTATCTCGAGTCACTAGATATTACCCCACTAAGAATGTACGCCTATCTCGGTATGATCGAGAACCATTATAACGACAACCCGTACCACAACCGAGGACATGGACTGGGAGTTGCTTTAATCGGCCAGGTCCTCACCAACGTTATGGGCAACGTGTTCCAGTAAGTGCTTCCATATCATACCACTTTTTTTTTTTCCTCAGTCCAGCAGCTGACGAAAGGGGCATATTGATCCTTTCTTGTCTGTGTCATGATGTCGGTCATCCAGGTTTGAATAATGCTTTTTATGTTTCGGAGGGCAAGACAATGGGAGCTCTATATAATGACAGAGCGATCCTGGAGAATTATCATTGCTTTGTAACATTTCGTTTAGCACAGTTACATCAGGGCTCGAACATCTTCCGGGAACTCCGACCAGCAGCATATCGTCGTGTGCGGAAAGACATAATTCAATTGATTTTAGCGACCGATATGTCGGCCCATTTCGCACTGATTTCAGAGTGGAGACTGAAACGTGAGAGTGGGAAAGAGATCCGCAGTGCGGAGGACCGTATCAATATCTACAAGATGATAATAAAGCTATCTGACTTGTCTCATGCATTGTATGACTGGGAACTGCACACGAAATGGTCGTTAAGGATTAGCGAAGAGTTTTATCAACAAGGTGATTTGGAGGAGCAATTAGGGCTGCCGAGATCGCCTCTTTGCAATCGAGCTGAACACTCTCGGTTCGCTAAAAATCAATGCGGCTTCCTTGAGTTTGTTGTGCTACCTTTGGGAACCGAGGTTGCTGCGCTGGCCGGGTACATGCCATCATCTTCGTCTATGGAGTTTGTCTCCATAAAACGAGATGCATACCTCGACACACCTGTAGAGGACCCGCAAAGCATTGTGGAACGGATCAAGTCGAACCTAGAACGATGGAAACAGTCCACTCATCTGCGCTGGGAGATGCCGCCACTTCCAAAGATACAAAGCTTCGATCTTCCCTTCATGATAATAAAACAGTACATGCTGGCCAAACTTCAGCCACCAGAGGATCCAAATCGTAACGTCATTCGAGGTCTACGATGATCCTCCCAGCTGAACAGAACCCTGTAGAGATAATCGACTTCATTCCAATCATGAGTTTGAGCTAATAGACCTCGACTTCACTCCCGAAAACTGTACTGCAGGCAGTCTCGCCCACTCGGTTCCAGTGTGGTACCCCTCCAGTGTGGTACCCCTCCAGTGTGGTACCCCTCCAGTGTGGTACGCCTCCAGTGTGGTACGCCTCCAGTGTGGTACGCCTCCAGTGTGTGGTACGCCTCCAGTGTGGTACGGCTTCAGTCTGGTAAGGCTGGAATCGTGGGTTGGTCTTCGACTCAGACTAAAAAAGGGGAGAGGTCTTGCGTCGTCACACACTGGTTGTCGACGACCTGACCAAGGCAAGGAATGAACCTGGCGACCTTGGTGGGGGAGTGAATGGCAAAGCTAAAGATGAGATAGGAGCCGAGAGCACAGAGGATGATAGTTCCAACCCACGAGACAGCGAGCTTGCCCGCAAGTGGCCAGTTGATAGCGCGGAAGTTGAGGTAGCCAAGTGTTTTCTGGGTGATGTCCTCGCCAGTTTCGGGGTCGATGTGTCTATCCATCAAGCCGACTCCGATCATGGCTCCCACACCGATATGAGTGGAGCTGATACTGAACCCGAGAAAGGAGCAGATGATGGTGATGGTGAAGATGGACATTTCCACGGAGAAGCCCTTGGGTGCGCTCATATGCAGTAACTCAATACCCACTGTCTGGATTACTTTGTACCCCAAAGTCATAAGTCCAATTGAAATGGACGAGCCACCTAGCACCAAAACCCAAATGGGAACCGCCACGGAGTCGAGGAAGGCACCCTCCTTGTAAATTGAGTAGATTGAAGAGAAGGGCGCAGCTGCGTTGCTCACGTCGTTCGAACCATGAACGAGACACGCCAGTGCCGCACTAACGGTCTGAAGGGCTTTGAAGTAGGCTTCGCCCCTCCAGTCAAACTTCTCGGTCAAGACCGCCAGTTCGTGCACGTTCTCGTTGTCTTCTTCCGCTTCTGCATGGATATCTCGATTCCAAGGCGCATTTGCCAGAGCCTGTTTCGCTCGGATCTTGCAACCCGTCTGCTCTCCGTCCTCTGTGTCCTCGTCTGCGCTCTGGGCACTCTCTCTGCTCGCTGTTTGGGAATCTTCCTCCATCGCCATGAGAGCGGCGAGCTTGGCGTCTTCAGCAATGCGCTCATCGTTGATCATACTTCGGTGGATCCACCAACGCAGCGGCCAATAGAAAATCAAGGCCAGCGCGAAACTGGCGCCAATAGCGATACCCCAGGCCGTGCCCAGATGGGCCGAGACCCACTGCGTCAGTTTACATGGTGAGATGTCCACAATTTTACCGTCTACCTTTTGCCGACATGTTTTGTTGCTCATAACCACGGGGTTGTTGAAGACTAAGTAAATGGCAATGATCCCGCATACATACAACACCAGGAAGGGTAACAGTAGCTCTCCCCGACTCACGGGATTCCCATTGCGCAAAATAAACTTCCGAATTAGGACGTAGAAACAAGCAGCGGTAATCATGGATAAAGCCGGAGCCGCAAACCACGCAATCACAACTTGACCCAAGTACGCCCAATGCACCGCCTGGGGCGATATGGCCAAGCCGCAGCCCATAAAACTTCCAATCATCGAGTGGGTTGTAGAAACAGACATCTTTATACTCGACGCCACAAACAACCAAACGGTCACTGTTAATAAAGTAGTCAAGTTCGCAATCAACAAGAAGTCCGGCAATTCTCCAAACCTCTCCGGGTAGTACACACCCTTCCTAACAGCATCCGTCACCGATGCTCCCAATCCCACCGAACCGATCAGCTCAAATATAGCCGCAATCACCAAGGCACCCCGCAAAGAGATCGATCTGGATCCCACCGACGTGCCAAAATTGTTCGCTACATCATTCGCTCCCATGCCAGCGCCAAGGGTAAAGCAGAAGATAGCCCCCACTACAACCGCCCTGAACAAACACACCTCACACACACACCCAACTCAAGTGTGTGCAAACACGTGTGCGCGTACACACGCGTTTGCACACACGCGTGTGCGCGTACACACGCGTTTGCACACACTTTCCGCCATCCATCACACCCACTCAAATCGCAACAACTCGGTCCTTTCGCAACAATGCCGCTCCAGTGCGGGCTCTTACCAGGTGTATTCCGTCAACATAGACAGAGCTTCAGCAAAATTGCTTCTGTGATTAAAAAAACTTTGTGCAAAGATGAAAATCCAGGGGCGGCGGGGGGGGGAGGGGGGGGGGGTTATCCGTCGTTTTAGCTTTTGTTAACCACACAGAGCTGGGGGGGCATTTGGAGCCGGCAAGACGTCGTTCGGTGGGTCTGAATTAGGCATGGCGGACGGAGTCCGGCAGCTAAGACGTGAAGACTCCGCAAAGGAAACTGTTGCCGAGTTCAACCACCCTCGTATTAAAAGCACGACTGCCCCCGATCCCCGTCCAGCCGGTGATTGACCCACTCTGGTGTCTGACGGTGATTGACCTACTCTGGTTGGTCCGGCAGTTGGCCCATTCTCATTGGTCCATTCTCTTTGGCGTACTCTGGTTGACGGCTCATGCAATGGAGGGATAGGAACGTGAGGAACATGGGACTACGAAGTTGGGGGGGGTTCCGTTCCAGGCTGAGTTTCCGGATTCGATTCCAAATCCGAATCGGGGGTCGGGTTTCAAGCCGGGATCCGAGCCAGTTCCTAATTCTAGGCCCGGTTCTATTAAATCCGGTTTGTTGGTTCAGGTTCCGTTGGCTCTCTTGGCACGGTTTCCTTGATATGGTTCTCCTGATGTGGTTACGATAATGTCCGGTCCAGCTTTTGATCCGGTCTCCGTTGAGGTCCGGTCCGGTCCTTCCTCTAGGGAGTCCGTTGAGGCTGGTTCCCTTTCAGCTGGAATCCGGTTGAGTCGTATGGGGCCCGGCTCAGTCGGCTGATGTCCGGTATCAATTGGGCATGAGGGTGAGGTCAGGTGTGGTTAATGGAGGGGCTGCGGATGGCGAAGGTCATAAGTATGTAGCCGGCGGTGCAGCAGAGGATAAGAGTACCAACCCATGAGACGGCTAGTTTGCCTGCGAGGGGCCAGTTGATGGCGCGAAGGTTAAGTCCGCAAGTTGTTTGGGTGACGTCCTGGAGAGTAAATGGGTCGAAATGCCGGTCCATTAGACCAACTCCGATCATGGCTCCTATGCCGATATGTGTGGAAGAGATGGTGAGTCCGAGGTAGGAAGCAGAGATGATAACGGTGAAGACGGCCATTTCTACGCAAAATCCCTTGGGTGCATTCATATGTAATAATTCGATACCGACGGTTCGAATCACCTTATACCCTAGCAGCATGAGTCCGATAGAAATAGAACAGCCGCCCAATGCCAACACCCAAAGCGGGACCGGGATGCTCTTGAGATACGCACCTTCCCGGTAAATAGAATAGATTGCAGCAAACGGTGCCGCCGCGTTCCCTACATCGTTGGAACCGTGGACTAGACAAGCCAGCGCCGCACTACACGTCTGCAACGCCTTGAAGTATGCCTCCGCCTGCCAAGGGAACTTCTCTGATAATGCCTGGATCTCTCCCACTCGAGACTCCTCCTGAGCCGCCTCCGCATGTAGGTCTCGATTCCACGGCGCAGGAAAACGACCCCCACAACAAGCACCTTCCACCTCCTCCAAAACCTCCGCTGACTGCTCCTCCACCGGCAACACCACCGCGCTGGCACTCCGCACCGGGATTTGACATACCTCTCCTGGAGTCGAACCGTCCGGAGTGGATCCGCTCGGAGTGGAATCCGGACCGTCAACCCAGTGGCTAGACACAGTCGAGCCGCCCGGACTCAGTTCGTCCTCCGAAGCAGAAGCAAAGTGCGCGCGCTTTGTCGACAGCGAGATGGGGGACGTCGCGGAGGCGCCCTCGCCAGCAGCATCCGACGTGCCGGCCGCGACTGAGTCGGTCCCAAAAGCGCCATCTGCAGCAAAGGAGAGAGTGCGTCTGGGGAGGTCTGCGAGGGTCCAGCTCCTGCCGAGCCCGGCTTTCTTTTTTTCTTGTTCGGCGGTGATGGTTCGTTTGGTCCAGAATTTGATGGGCACATAGAGGATGAGGGACGTCGCGGCCGCCGCCCCGAGACCGATGCCCCAGGCGGCGGGGAGGTGGGCGGAGACCCAGTGTGAGGCATAGCAGGGTTTTGTGGCCGCGATAATTCCGTCGGAATTTTTTTGCACACACGTGTGCGAGGCGAACACAAGGGGGTTGGAGAAGACGAAGAAGAGCGAGATGATGAAAGCGACATAAACGCAGAGCAACGGCAGCAAGAGGTTCGCTCGGCGGACGGGGTGTTCCGCGCGCAGTACGGCCGCTCGCAGCGCCGTGAAGAGCGAGGCGGCGACTAGGGCGGCGAGCAGCGGCGCGCCGACCCAGGAAGATAAAATGGTGAGGAGGTATTTCCAGTGGACAACGCGTGGCGAAATAGCTAGGCCGCAGCCCATGTATGCGCCGATGATGGAGTGTGTGGTGCTTACGCTCATTTTGAGCGAACTGGCGCAATATAGCCAGATGGCAACCGTGAACAATACCGTCAGGTTCGCAATTAGCAGAAATTCATGCGACCGATTTTTCGCCACATGCACCTCCAACTTGCCCAGGTCGTACACCCCGTTCCGCACAGAATCCGTCACCGTCGCGCCAAAACCAATAGACCCAATCAACTCGAACACCGCTGCAATGAATAACGCACGCTTCAACGAAATCGAACGGGATCCCACCGATGTCCCAAAGTTGTTCGCCACGTCATTCGCTCCCATCCCACCTCCGAGCAAAAAGCAGAAGATGCCGCCGACCGCCACAGCCCTGACCAAACACTCTAGTGCAACCAACTAACCACTTACCATGTGTACTCAGTGAGCATGCAACTTTCGAGGGGTACCCCTCGAAAGGTGGTACCCCATCCCAACTTGTTCTAGCCTCCAGGTTCTGGCATCCGCACTATGCTAACTTGTCTAACTAGTGCTTAGTTACTTCCTTTCAACTACTTATTCTTGTTTCCGCTACTTATTCTTGTTTCAACTACTTATTCTTGTTTCAACTACTTATTCTTGTTTCAACTTGTTCTAGCTAATCTTGTTCTACCTAGCATTGTTCCATATCGTATTATTCCACTCAACATTGTTCCAACACTTTGACCTGACGAACATGACTGTCCTGTCCATTCTGGAAGTTGGCTAGTATACCGATTTGTATAATTGAGCACGAAAAACCTTGTCTTGAAGACTCTCTCATTAACGTGGAGGCTAGAGCTGCCTCGGGTGTATCTGGGAGTTGTTGAATGACCTTCGACAAATAATACATCGGCTCCAAACGTAGCTTGACCCATCCGATGGGGGCGCTCAAGGTGAACTCACCTACAGTCTATAGGGGGTTGGCTGGGTAGGTGATGCGTTACCTTTGGTGTGTTACCCTTGGTGTGTTACCCTTGGTGTGTTACCCCCCGTGGGTACGGTCACTACTGGTGGGTAATAGCCACTTACCTCTAAACAGTCGACATGGTCACCGACCCTAACTACGACGATTTTCGGGGTGTAGGTATCATCGATGCCGTAGTGCACGTACAGCTCAACAGCACAGATGTTTCTTCGATAGTTGAAATAACCGGTGATGAAATGCGGTACCCCAGAATTGGATTGCCAAAAGGTATCCAACCGTGTATCAATTAGATTCTTAACACTGGTACCAGTCTTAGCTGTGCTCACTTCCCAGATAGCTTGGTGTGTTATATCTGATGTACCCATATGTACTCCGTTGCAATCTTTAGTGCGTGTGTGTGGAACAAGCCAGTCAGTAGGTATGTATTTTTTGAACCTAGAAACAGCGAGTCAACGACGGGTCAGTTTTCTACACCAGTTACAGAATGCGACTCGCGTCGAACCGTTGCAAAACTGGGATTCCAGTAATGCGTGGTATCATGATTTACGGGCCGAGCAGTGTACTATAAAAGGGGAATTGAGTTTGACATTATCTCATCTGAGCATACTAAATGACAACTCAGAGCATTCGATGTTCGTGTTCGAGGACGATTCTGAAGTCACCATGCAGCGATTAGACTCACCCGTACTTTACGGCCAATCACTCGCGGACTTGGGTTCGCTACTAGAACACGTTACCGACGCATACAGTCAAGATTCGACAGCGGGAACGAGTGAGGTTGGCGGAAAGTTGTCGTGGACGTGGCCTCTTCATTGTCAGAGGACGGTGTTGGGTTACTGGCTGTGGCCTGCGTCTACCTATGAGATCAATCAACTGGCTATGTTGATGAATTCACTATACCTGACCGAGCCTGTCATCCTCAAGACGAATCAACGCCTGCTGCCCTTTAATGAAGCTATTAGACCTTTTGTCCATTATCTACCCATATATTCAACATCCTTTGGCGCTGCCGGCTCTGTATGTCTCTGGTATTCCAAAGCAGCGGCTACCGAGACATTACGACGAACAAAAGTCCAGCTAAAAACCACCGGTCTATTTCCTGGGAAAACGTGTGCGATCGACTTAGTGCTAAATTCGCTCAACTCCTACACACTATGGCCCTCGCCTACAACCACCATACTACCCGGAACAATAGCCGATGATGGAGAATATGATATTCGGAACCAATTACGAAGTGGTGCGAATACACACGACAACGTTCACAAATTATCATATGCAAGCAACCTCAAGGCCGTCATTGAAGCGTACCGCTTCACTCAAAATAAAGTGAGGAAACAGCTACAACTGCAACCAGAGCTGCAATTGCTATCGGAGCGACTGCGCAATGAGGGACCTGGCCGAACGATCCACGCTTTCAATGCCTTTCAAGATCAATCAAACTTTATTTGTACCAGCTACCTGAAGGCCTTGGTCGAGGAGGCGGCCGCCCAGCCCATGTTTAACTACGTATGGATTTTTTCGGCACTCATGTTGTGGGCGTTAACAGAAGCGATACTGAAGCTGCTGCCTAGAAGGAAACGACGAAAGATATCATGATGAAATGTGCGTGCATCGTGACTCTTTGCTATTGTATTTCTGAGAGCTTCAGTTTTGGTGTGACATTCATGGCTTGTAATTCTTGGAAGAGGAGTTTGCATGCGTAGGGTAGAGTGATCGAGGCGACATCATCGCTGGTTTTACAGTACGGGCAGTAGTTGTTATAGCCGAGTAGTCCGCATCGGGAACAGACATCTGTTTTGAATGCGTCTGATGAGAGCATGAGTCGTTCTAGAATCATGTTGGAGCCGCCATAAGCGACTAGACAATCGCGTTCCATTTCACCTAGACGAAGGCCGCCCATTTTGGCTCTACCTTCGGTGGGTTGTCTGGTCATAAGTTGTCTGGGACCAATACCTCGTGCATGAATTTTGTCTTGTACCATATGCTTTAACTTCTGGTAGAAGATAGGTCCATTAAATACATAGGTCTGAAGAGCTTCGCCAGTGATGCCGGATGTCAGGTAGTCCTTGCCGCTGTAATGGAAGCCGGCGCCACAGAGGACTTGAGCAATGTCCTTGACTTTGGTTCCACCAAAGGCTGTACCATATTTCAATTTCCCATCGAAGAGAGAAGACTTACCGGCAATCAATTCGATCATTTTACCGACGGTCATGCGCGAGGGGAAACCGTGCGGATTCATAATCATGTCAGGTGACCAGCCAGATTCAGCAAATGGGAAGTCTTCTGGTGGTACGATGCAGCCCACTACTCCCTTTTGGCCGTGTCGTGAACTGAATTTATCGCCATACTCTGGCGGTCGCGTTTGTCTAAAGATAAACTTATACAGTACATTGTCTTCCGCATTTTCAGTCAAGATTACACGGTCCACGAAACTTGGAACTGGTGTCTTGTACTTGGCGGGCTGCGGTTGAAAGACTTGCTTACCCGTCACACCACCTGTGTCCGTTTGGACGGGTACGCCCTTGTTGCAATAAATCTGGTCTTGTGATAACAATGCGCCAACGCGGGCTACCCCATCGCCCTCGAGTACCTCATAACGGTAGTCGACCTTCGCCTTCGCATTGCGTCCGCTACCAACCATTTTCGGTGGTGGCGGTGGTAGCGCACGGTCGGCCGTTCCGCCGTACTTTTTAAGTTCTACAGCGTACCGTTTAATGACGTAACATCGTCCGAACCCGCGGTCGATGGCCCCGCGGTTCATAATAAGAGCATCTTCGATATCATAGCCACTATAGGACATGACGGCAACAGATGCCGCGTGTCCAGCAGGTAACTTATCCAGCCCAGCCAGTTCGATAGTCTTGCTCTTGCATAACTGACGTTGTGGGTAAACCAACAAATAAAGCACGTTATCCACACGATTGAACTGGTTATATGACATCACACCCATAGCCTGTTTCCCCATAGCACACTGGTAAGTATTACGCGGGGACTGATTATGATGTGGATAAGGCACAAGACCAGACACTACACCCATTATGGTTAGGGCGTCAATCTCTAGATGAGTTGTCTCCTCCGTAATGTCACTTTCCTTAAGGGCTGTAACCGTGTTATTCTCCTCATTGACATCAATCCATTCCAACACACCATTGCGAAGAAAATCAAAGAAATTCAGTTCCCCATTCCGTACCATGACCACATGCTTAGCCTTCAATCGTGGCACGCGGCCCTCTACAATAATCAATGGTCGACACAGTCGTCCTCCATCTGATGCTATATATATGGCTTGATGTGACTCGTCCACGTAGATCGATACAAAGCCACCAATTTTTCCACAACGCCTAAGACGTTTCCAGTTCAGCATGAATTGTGTCGGCCTTCGATGAACACCTAACATACTTCCGTTAAGGAAGATGAGATATGTGCCCGTGTCATATAACTCCTCCCCCGTCAGACAATTGCCATCCTCAACGCCTAGGATAAATGCCATCCTCTTCAGTGGCGTGTCATTCTCGTCCGTTGTCACCTGGGTCATGAGCGACAAATTTTTGACAATACCAATACCCTCTCCCTCTGGTGTATCACAAGGGCATAACATACCCCATTGAGAAGGCTGTAACCATCGCGGCTGAGCCAACTTCATACCCTTTTCCACGCCCGCAACCAAACGGGTCATCATGCCTAATGCAGCCACATAGCTGAACCGACTCAAGACTTGAGCGACTCCACTTTTCTCCATTCGGAAACGTTTGATCGTCCAGTTACCCGTGCTCAACGCCTGTTGCATACCTCGTGTTATCGTGTCACCTGGTTTCTCACGTACTACATCTGGGTAGTCATCAAACGCTGTCATCTTGGTGCTGCTGGACTTACGCGCCATGTGACGTTTCAAAGCCTCATCAATTCGCTTCTTATACTCGTCCCGCCATGTGCGAAACTTGTCCTCAAACATCAACGCCATCAATTGCCCCGCTAACTCCAATCTCTTGTTCCCGTAATAATCCTTATCGTCTAGGACAATGAGACCGGCAATAGCATTAAAGACACGTCGGATCATCAGACAGATATAACGCCCTTTGGCGCGGAAATCATCTCCTTCCGATGGCAAGTGGGAGAGAATAACCCGGTGCAACATGTCCAGTCCCTCATCGATCAAAGTCTCGCTATCTTTCTTGACCTCCTCTTTAATCCAACTACGTTGCCGCACACGACGTCCCAAATAAAGCAGCGCCTGACGCTGAGTCGTGATCCGTAATTCTATGGACTCCTGCATTGAAAGATGAATACACTCGGCATGGTGTTTGCTAGTACCGATCATTTGCAATATCTCCTGATCTGTCTCGAAACCCATAGCCTTAAGCGCTATCACTACCGGTATGTCATCCACAAATGAGTTATGTCGCAAATAAGCACGCTGATTCTTCCAAACCACTTGCGTACGGGACTTGTTCTCATTCGTCACACTACTTACTGTTGCACATAAACACTTTTTAAAATCCTTCTCAATGATGATACGATTCTTACTAATCTGCTCCTGCATCAAAATTGCTTTCTCACTTCCTTTTACAACAAAGTAACCTCCAGGATCACGTGGACATTCACCTAACTTAATGACCTGTTCTTCCGTCGATTCCCACATCCAACACGCACATGACTTCAACATCACCGGCATACGACCAATCTCCTCTCGCATTCGACGAATTACTCGCCCACCCTGATAGTATTCCATATCTACCAGAATGGGTGCAGAATAAGTCATGTCACGTTGCCGACACTGCATCGGCGTCAATTTCAAAGACTGACTACCACTCATTAACCGAGGCTGACCGACACGACAGTCTAGAAACTCCAGAAAGAACTTTGGGTCCACCTCCGAACGTAATAAACGCGCAGTCTCTGCACGCACTATCTGACCCATCTCAACCTTCACGAAATGGTTATACGAATCAATGTGCTGCTTGATAAAACCCTTCGCCCGCAGAAATGCCGGAAGCAACTCCCACTTATCCTACAAAACCACCATGTCGCCACAATCCCAGGTATACGTCCTCCACACACGTGTTGCACAGGGACGTGTTTATCTCGCACACCGGCGTGTATCTTCACCTGCCACCACGTGTACGCCTTACCGGAATTTCGGGAACAGGCTCTGCCAGGTCGCTCAGCTTCGCCAGGCTGGCATCTGCTTGTTCCATTTGCCCCCAGGTCGAGGAAAATTAATTAGTCGACCACGGACACATGTTTACCGAACTGCCAATATCAGTCGATGCCTGACGGCTGCCTGCCTGCCTGCCTGCGAGCTGCCTGCCTGCCTGCCTGCGAGCTGCCTCACTCCTCTAAGTAAATCGCTTTTGAAACAAGGCCCAGTAAACATTAGGTTCGGTATAATCAGCTTGGGTCAGGTCGGGTGGAGTTGGGTCAAGTCGGGTGGAGTTGGGTCAAGTCGGGTGGAGTTGGGTCAGGTCGGTTCAGGTTGGAGGGAGTATTCAGGGGTCGTAATAAAGGTTGGTTACAATAAAGAAAGAGAGAGAGAGAGAGCGGCTGGATGAATAGATACGACCTGCAAGACATTGAGGACGTGTTTAAGTTCTTGGACATGGATAATGAAGGTATTTGATTCCGTGTGTTTGTCTAAAGGATTTTATGCCAGGTGTAATAACGAGGAATGAAGCATTGGTGGGTTTGGCCGCGCTGGACTGTACAGTTAGCTTGAGTGAGGTTGCGGCTTATGTTGAGTGTGGTGATCCTGAGCCGGCGGTAACACGTCGAGTGTTTGAGAATTTGGCGCGACAGTACATGCCGCCGTCTCAGTCGAAGGAAAACATTGTACGTGCTTTCCGATTACTGGATGACGGGAACAAGGGCTACATAACAGCAGAAGACATTGCGCGCAAAGTCAACGAACTTGGTTGCCAAAACATTGGCGATGATGACATTATACGAATGGTTGCGAGAGCTGTGGAAGAGGGGACCGTAGTTACGGAGGACGCATTTGTTCAAGTCATCAGTCAAAGCTTTAGCTACTGGGAGAGGGGGGACAAAGGTTTTTAAATTATGGGTGATTTCACCATCCTTACCAGACTCAGAGATGCTTATCCTCTAGTAGAAGATCCCGGAAAAGACCAGAACACCAAACTTCGCAAACAGGCATTTACCTGTTTAAAGGCGTTAAGTGATCAATATAAAAATCAACGGAATGATACCGAAGTCCAAAGCCTCGTCATATCATGCAACCAACAATATAAGTTCTAGTACGTCACTACAACACAATGTGCACTGTCAAAATGTGTGTGCACTGTCAAAATGTGTGTGCACTCTCAAAATGTGTGTGCACGGTCAAAATGTGTCTGCTGATTAGTGTAACAATGGGCAGTAATTTGATGATACTGACTGTTTTCGAATCCAAGGTGGCTCCCCCGATCGCCATATCTTTCTTGTCTGATGTGCGCAAGTTATTTATAGAGGAGATACGGCGCGAACACGGTGCAGCTTCGGCAAACAACTTAGCGGCTACTATTGACCAGGTGTCTGTGGCATATCAATATATCCGATTGGATCGGGCCATTCAGAGAAAACGGAATGAGTTTAAAGACTCCACTCGGAATGACTCGCTGAGGAGGCTGAACCACTCATTGGACGAGGTCTCCATGCTCATGCAGAGGAATATCAACGACTTGCTGATGAGAGGGGAGAATCTAGAGGCTGTCAGCGACAAGGCGGATCAGTTGAGAGAGTCAAGCAGGCGCTTTGCCCGGCAAGCTAGGAAGTTATCAAAAGGTGCCTGGCTCCAGACTTACGGGCCATTTATCGCTGTAGGGTTGGTAATTTTGATTATCATCATTGTTCTCATGCTGTAATATCTCGTCACGTAATGTTTAGTTCAACGTCTTCCACCGACCACGTAACGACCGCAGGATCTAAAACGCAGCCCAGGTGCCACATGATCTCAGACCCCATCGTCGAGATCCCACTCACGGCTATAGATCCCACCGTCAAGACCCCGTCGGTGGCTAACAAATTTTGGGGGACGTTCGCAACGCTGGGATGTCTGCAACGTCGGGGACGTTTGTAACGCTGCACCATGGGTATGGAACCTCTGTTAACGGCGGCCCGCTGGGCCGGGCTTGCCTCCAGTGCACTCACGGTTGTCTTAGGCATCGTGCACTTGACTCACCAGGAGGCCTCAATAGACTGGCCCAGCAAAATTGGAATGGGGTTCATTGACGATGTCCAGGCCCTCCACTGGCGGTCGAGCTTCTTCACGCTGAACCCAGACACGTTCCTCGACGTTTGGGGGCCCGTGATTATGGGCGTCATTGGGCTCGTTTGCCACTCCATCCACTTCCAGACGCTCCAAAAAGTCACCAGCAATTTTGGGTTCTACTTCGTAAGCTTGCACTCATAGACGACCAGCGCCTGACGACCATTGTGACGACCTGGCGACGGGAAGATGCGAGCAGTGCGATAACGTTGTTTCTGCAGTCATTTCTAATGATACAAGGACTGTTTGGTAACATTGGCTACAGCGGCGGGATGGGGATCCTTGTGTCTGCGGTGTCCTTCCTCGCGGCGCTCTTGGCCCTCATTGCTGTGTTTGCCGATCGCTCAGCCGACGCCGGCCTGCATCTGGCCCATGGCATGAAGGCAGCGGACTTAGGCATGTAAAGAAATTTTTTGGACAAAAAGATGGGATCGCATTGGCAATCTGGTGACGCGAAAACCCAAGCGGCTCGCATCATACACATACTGGCGTCGCTGCTGACGTTGGTGGTGGGCCTTATACACGTTCTACAGAAGAAGCCCCGCGTCCACTGGCCGGACAAGTTCACTGACGATCTTAACGCGGCAACCTGGAGGGCGACCATGTTCAGTCTTGCGCCTCTAGTTCTTGTTGACAACTGGACTGCGGTTGCAATGGGCATTTGGGGCCTTCTTGCCCACATGAAACAAGCGGGGTCCTTCTTGGGCGCGCCCACCGTCGATATGCTGAATGCCGGAGTAAATAACACTGGCTTCACGGCTACCTTCTCCTAAGCCACGTGCACCTGGCAACTTGCGCAGGCATTTCGGTGACGACTCGCAGACACTTCACTCACAAACGTAATCGCTTTGTCTCGCTGTAGGTGTACCTCGTTATAATGGGCTTATGGGCTACAATTGCTTATGCTGGAGGAATAGGTGTGATATTTTCGTGTGTGACATTCCTAGGAGCCCTCGTTTGTTTAATACTGGCATTTGTTGACAATCAAAGCGCATCATTAGCGCTCAATTAAATTGTTTTTGGTCGGAATCGAGGTCACACACACGTGCGCGAAATTCAAAATGGTATCCTGGACGCCTGGAAAAGCCGAAGTCGCGGTTGGCAAGTTTATGCACCTGTTTGCCAGTCTCTTGACCCTCGTGGTCGGACTTGTTCATCTTTCGAAACGGAAGCCTCGCATCCACTGGCCTGACAGCGGTTTTATCACCGACAACAACATATATTGGAGGTACCAGATGTTCAGCTTTGCGCCAAGTGTTTTTAGTAAGAAGACGGCCTATATTTACATTCTTTCGTTTAGTCGACAACTGGACGGCTGTTGTCCTCGGTGGTTGGGGCATCATGTCCCATCTCCAGGTATCGGGGCGCTTTCTTGGCGCACCCGCCAAGAGTTTCATCACGGCCAGCGTAAGCTGTGGCAACATATGAGTCATTAAATTTTCCTTGCAGATCTTCCTCATCTTTATGGGGTTGTTTGGTACTTTGGCGTATGCCGGAGGATTGGGAATAATCTTCTCGATTTTCACGTTTTTGGCCGCTGTCATTGCATTGGTTTTGGCGTTCACCAACAACCAGTCCGCATCCCTGGAGATCCACTGAGCTAACCACCAAAACATCCTCGCTTTATATGCGATGGGGGGTCCCGATTTTTTACGGTACAATTATAAAATGGAAACAGCAGTACTTAATGCTGCAATTGCCGAGTATTGTCGTGCTCAGGGTTTACTGAAGACGAGAAATGCGCTAATCAATGAAGCAGCGTGCCCGGTAAGATAGATCTGAAGAAAAGTCACGGAAAATGGATCCAAAAAGTGAATGATAGATCGGGTTTTAGGATGAGACTAAGCTGCCTGTCCCGGATATCTTATTGAAGCGGTGGAATGCTGCAACCACTCTTCAAGTGTCGGTAAGATGATCAATGTTTTACGTACGCTCAATTCGATAGGTGCATGTTTTGGAAGAGCTCGCCCAGGAACTGAAGAAGCAGCTGGACGCCTTAAGATGCGCCGTTTGCATGCCGTGTGCCTCCGGTTTCAATACGACCTCGCCTCGGAGCTGGGGTGCAGTGGAGCGGATTTTGTTCGATGTTTCACCCGTCTTGCCGCTGACAGTTGGCGTCTACCGCCAAACACTTGTTTGCACGCGACGGGACGGGACGGTGTTGTGGAAGACGCCGGGCACCGAGAAGATCACGTCATTGACCATAGCAGATAATGGATATAGCATGGTGGTTTGCACAAACACATCGTGTGTAGAGTACTATGAATCGGTACTGAGTTCGGTGCCGAGTTGGGCCATCACACTGAAGGACCAGGAGCATGGCATCAGCGCCAGGGTGACTCGGAAGAGGGTCATAGTTTTCACAAACCACAACAGGTTTGCAGTTGTCAGCATCCCGAAAAGGTGGGCGTTTAACACGATCGTTACCTCCACATTACACCGCAGTTATGCCACCGTACGACTTGCACTCCTACAGTTGTGGTGTGCACATCTTACTGCAGTTCTGTTGCAGAGAGGTCCTTCGGTATTTGGTGGGACCGGGTGTGGGTTTGACCACGTGGGACGTGCATCGCGACCTGGGGTACATTGTGGGGGCTACGGACAAGGGCGTATTGGGAGTGTGTCGATGGACAGACGAGACGTTCAGCGTGGAGGTGGAGGCGCACCGGAAGCGGATTGACGCGCTGGTCTGTGTGGCGGGGACGCCCTTGGTGGTCACGAGCGGCCGGGACGGAGTGACTCGCGTCTGGAAGCTAGAGCCTGCAGAGCCGTCGGTGTTGACCCCGGTGTGCGACTTGGTCGGCCACTCGAACTGGGTTGTTTCCGTTCGCAACACGGGTGACGTGGTGACCTCCGTGTCGGATGATGGCTTGATGATTTCATGGGACCCAGAAACATGGCGTCCTGTCTCGAAAGTGCGTTTGCGCGCCTGCAATCGTGCCTGGTTGGATAGCGGACCTCAAACGATCTACACATTGCATAACGGACAGATCGCACAATACGTGCGATCCGGCAAGGCGGGCCCGACAAGTGGTTTGGCAAGTGGCCCGGGCGGACCGTATCAACGAACCGATTCGTATGACCGGACCGACTCGCAGGGGCGTGAGAGTGTGTTGGTGGAGAAACTCTCGCTGAGTCAGATGTCTTCACCACGACAAACACCGACCTTGATCTCCAGTCCCAGTCTCGGGCCCAGTCCGTACGGCACGCCGACGACGAGTCCGCGTAACAGTCTGCAGGAACTCCAACAAGCTCTTGTTCGGGATTCGAGGGCAACCAACGACCAGCTCGTCCCCGGACGCCTGCCGCGTACTAGCAGCCCCCGAAAGAGGCCCTCTGCGCCCTGGACTTCCAGCCCGCAAGAGCGCGGGTTGGCCTCCCACCCAACAGGCTCACGTCCGCATCTGGCGACGGGCCCAGATCTGGGGGAGCCTGGCGCCTCCCGATTCGGCGACGCGTTTAACTCGCAGGAGAACCGCAGTCCGGCATCCGCGGCGGCGCAGCAGCCTATCGACCAGTTGATGCGTCGCCTGAGCTCGCGGAGTGTTTCCTTCCTCAACAAGTCGGTGGACAAGTCGACGGACCGATCCCTAGACCAATCCCTCGACCAGTCCCTAGAACAGTCGGGGGTTGGCGGGTTGTCGACGGAGGCGGGTCGCGGCTTGACGCCGAGAGGACTGTTGGCGGTCCCGGGGCCGGCGTCTTACTCGGCGGTAGAGGCGGATGGCCGTAGCATGCCATCGTTGGGTCCGCGTGCGGTGAGCGACACGCCATTGACTCCACGGTACGTGCCGCGTGCGGATGGGCGACCGCGGCGGTCGCAGGCCGGGGCGCGGTCGTCGGAGCGAGGGGTGGAGAAGGAGGATCGAAGTCGGGTTGAGGGATCGTCCGTGGGCGGTGGATCGGAGGAGGCCGTGGCGCCCTTGGTTAGAACGCCGCTGCGGTCGACGGAGCGTCGGCCGCGGCGATCGACGCTCGGGACCGAAGAGGGCCGTCGGAGCGAGGCCGCGATGCCGGGCGTGCGGAAGTCCAGTCACCGGGAGACGCTGGACCGGAGGGGACTTTCTTCTGCCTCGGCCCAGCCATCTTCAGTGGCGCCCCCGTCGGCCCAGGCTCCCACCTCGTCGTCGGCCTTGGCCCCCGGCTCGTCGGCCCCGCCCACCTCGTCGGCCTTGCCCGGCTCAGCGGCGCCAGCTACGAGCGACCGGTCACTGCGGTACATGAGTATCCAACAACGCCTGGACCGCGAGCTAGAAGCAGCACGACAGCAACCCTCATCCGCGCGCTCGCTCACGGCTCTTCGGCCTCGACGATCCTCGGTCGAGACGGGTCGGCGAAGTGTGCGGAAGTCGGCCCGAGAGGACTTGCTCAAGATCGACGCGGCCACAGCGCGACTAATGAGCGACCCGCGGAAAGGCAACGTCTAAGGACCAGGGGAAAGGCAGGCAAGGCAGACCGGAAGGAAGACCACTGGAACCGGTATCCTTACTAGTATCTGGACTGGTCCCAGGGCTGGAAGACCACGGGGTCTCCTTAGAGACAACCTGAAGAGGCCGTCGGAGGGGGGAGCGGAACTTTGTTGGAAAGGTTCGTTAGGCCTTCTGGGGGACGTTCGAAGCGGTGCACCTCGAATGGAACCTTTGTTAAAGGCAGCCCGTTGGGTGGGTCTCAGCTCCAGTCTCCTGACCCTGGTCTTGGGCGTCGTCCATTTGTGTCGGCAACACGTCTCGATCCACTGGCCCAGCAAAATACACGCTGCCTTCCTCGATGACGTGCAACAGGCGGCCTGGCGGACGCGCGTCTTTACGCTGGCGCCCGACTACTTTTTGGAGTGCTGGACGCCCGTCCTTGTGGGGCTCATCGGTGTCGCGTGCCACTCCAACTATTTCCGTCTGACTCAGAAAGTCACCTCCAATTTTGGGTTCTACTTCGTAAGCTACCGCTACGTGCAGTCGACCGATATGAGTCTATGCAGTCCACCCCCCCCTCAACGACCGAGCCTATACTTGCGGTCGACCGTATGACGTACGTTCTTCTTTAGGTATTCCTGATGATCCAGGCATTGTTTGCCAACATCGGTTATCGTGGGGGATTGGGTATCCTTGTGTCTGTCGTCTCGTTTGTGGCGGCTCTCTTGGCGCTAATTGCTGGGTTCATGGAGCGCAGCGCGTCTGCTGCTTTACAACTTGGTCGCGACATTAAACACAGTTTCATGGCCACCTAGCCAATTTTCAACCTGACACGGGCACATAACTTATGGAAGCCTGACACTAAGGGGAGTGCGGGGGAGAACGGGAGTCCGGTCACATGGTTGAAGAAAACTGAGCCCCGGATCGTCGAACCCTGGGTGATGACCCCTGGGTGAAAACTGAATCGGCCTGAAAACCGGATCGATTTGACAGGTGAATCGAACTGGAAACTGGATCGAGTTGAGTGACCCGCCAAAGTTGTCAGTAAAAATGTGGGCCACGTCGCACGTAGCCTGAGTAAACCCCGTCGGTACAGGGGCGGCAAGGTTAGGTGAAGGCTCTAGGCACGAAGGGGAAGTCTTCGTGGAGGCTTTTGCAACGACCGAATTCGCAGTAGCCACTGCAGCAGGTAAACCTGTAGTTGCACTTGGAGCCCACGTTGGCGCAATGAATATGGCCTGCGCTGCCCAGGAAATTTCGGTTGTTCCTGAATTGCTGGTAGTGGTAGGCGCGCAGTGCCGCGTTTCCGGGGAAGGACCCATTGAATTTGTCATCAATAGCAGTAGGCAAGAAGGGCCATCGCTTCGTAAGCGTAGAGTCACCAAAGTGGAGCGCGGTTGGCAGGCCCAAGTCTCCCCCTGAAGAACATGTTCTTCACGTTTTGGTTTGTGGGTTTAGATCCGAGTTCGCTGCGGGGTCGGGACCTGCGACACCGCAGCGAACCAGAAAATCGAGTTCCTGCCCCTTACCCTCAATTATCTGAACCATTAGAAGGAGGATAGCATTGTGAGTCAGCATAAAAAAGTGCTATACGAGTGTGTTCAAGCAGTATGCACACACTATTAGTGGTTAACAGCTTGCAGCTGCTTGTTGATTTCCTTTGGAACGTTGGGAGGATACGGCGCGCCCCAGGTGTTCTGTCCCCTCCGATTCCGACGGAGCGGCTTTGACGCCCTTCCTCTTTGAACTCCGACGCTGGCTTGGTCCATCGAAAACACACGTGTGTGCTATCGCAACACGGGATCATTTAAGCAACGGGAATAACGTCAGCAATATGGGCTCAACAAGCACTGCAAAACAAATGAAATTGACCAGTAAATAAGTAAACGCAATCAATTAACCCAGCGCTTACCATACGTCATGATCCACTTATGATAGGGTGAGTTAAACCAATACGTAGCGAGGTCGTTATTAATTTCCGCCTGTCGCGCTGCCACAAATTGATGAATGCGTCGCAATGTACGCACATTATCGACGATTTTTTCCATTTTCGACATTAATTCCACATTTTTCTGTTGGACTACATTGTCAACTTGTTGCTTCAGTGTTAAAGAATTGATCTCTCCCCACAATTCGTTCACAGAATTTGTCGCAGTTTCACCTTTGACATCCGACCTTTGATCCTCGGGGACTTGTTCGTCGACCATGTCATTCAGCTAAGTAGAGTGATATAGATTGTTGTTCCCACTTGCTGTTCCCACTCCCGCTTGCTGAGTGTTGTTACTGAAGGGTTGCCCGTTGTTGCTTACCGCTTGTTTGTCTAGAGGGTTTCCACTGACGGAAACCAGGTTTCGGAGGGGGGCGTTGCGCCGGAGAACTGCGGACTCTTGCTGAAGGAACATCGCGGTGTAATTTGGCTCCCAAACGGCTGCTTCTTTTTCGCTATGGAACGTCGACAAGACGGCGGCTGAGTGCGCGGTGTCTAATATTTCGCCGATCATCAAGCACAGGTTGCCCCGCTTCCCGATGGGCAGGGCCAGGGCTTCCGCGTACACGGTGCACATACTAGTCACGACCTGCCACGCCTCATCACTCTCAATGAAATTCCGATACGCCACGCCCCATAGTCTCTGGCCCGTCGGGTTCAACCGACGGAAACCGGCCGCATAGCACTCTGGAAGCTCTTCCGAAGAAATAGCACAACGGTCATAGATGTGCTTGGTGAAACGGAGGTACGGCACGCTCTGAATGACTTCCTTAGCCGCAATCTCTACAATCAAACACGGGATCATCTACACGGGATCACCAACCCCCCACCACCCGGCCCAGCCACGTCTGCGACACCACCACACTTACTTGTTCCCTCATTCAGCACCCCCGGCGGCGCCGCAGCATACACGTTCACCCACTCTGCCACACGCGCACTCAAAGCCGTAATTGCGAACGCCATCGCGTTCGCGTCTTGAAACATGCCAGCCGGCCCCACCCTTGACTCCGCCGTCCCGTCAAATTTCACAATCTGATCATACGAAGGCGTGCCCGTTTGCACTGCCGAACAGAACACCAACAATGAAGCCAACCTCATCTCCCGTGCACCCCATGCACCTCGAACTGCAATCGCCCCTCCAAAACTTCTCCACACGTCTCCTAAACGTCTCTGGTAAAACCCTACCTACTAAAACTATCGGCTCTACCACGCCACTATCTCGCACACTCGCACCACCCTCTCGGAACATCTCTCCAGCAGCTTCTGGCTGCTGCTCCCAGCTACTCCTGCTTCCAGCTATTGCTGCTGCTTCTTTTGCTGCAGTATGACTGCCTGCATATGTACGAATTCCATCATCATGTGGTTCACCAGCCCCTGAATGCCCAGCCAGTCGTGTTCTGGCCCGCCCGACTTCTGAATGGCTCTTATGATCTCCTCCTGCTGCAGGTTGACGTAGTTTTTCGAGAGCATGAACGTCACGCGGTACTTGAGTCGACGCAGCACACTCAACTGCTCCTTGCGCGTCTTCACGGACTTCTTCAATTCCTCCAACAACTCATTCGCGGGTTGCTGCAAGTCGTCGCCCCACACCTCATACAGAATGTCATCCGCACTGCGCTGCTCATACTCATCCTCCTCCTCGTCTTCGCGCCCAGGCACCGGAGCACCCATGTCGTCCGGGATCGCACCAGGTACGGCCGGGGCCGCGTCATCTTCGGACTTCTTTTCCTCAGGCTTCTTTTCCTGAGACTTGTTGGCAGGACCCCGCTTGACGGTCACATGATGGGCAGGAGTACTTCCAGAGATCACGGGGGAGGGCACAATCGACTCCGGCTTCGGGCGGTGGTGCCCGATGCCGAGCGACTCGAGGAAGTGCGGCAAGTGCAAAATTGAGGTAGGCAATAACTGACGTGGCATTAAAAGCGCTGAGTCTCGTTCGGGTGCTGAGTCTCGTTCGGGTGCTGGGTCGGCCAGGAGGTCGGAAGGCAGCAAGAGGCGGCGCTCTGTCTCTTGGTTGAGTCGCTCCAGCTGTGCAGTAAGATCCCCGACACGTTCGGATAGCTTGTGCTGGTCGTTGATCGACTGAATGTTCTGCTGCGTGCTCGGGTCCTGTCCTAGGCCCTGTTTGACTCCCTCCGGCAGTGAGTTCGACGGCTCGCCGGTTGCAGGTTTCCCGTTGAGCATTTCGCTTGCGCGTTTCACCATGTGACCGACCCCCACACAGAAGCTGTGCAGACGTGACTTCTCCAGCTTTAACAAATACCCGTAAGTCCCGCAAAGTTCGCCCCCAATTGCGTACCAGCTCTGCTCGTCCTGAATTAAGTCGTGGAACGAGTTGCCCACGACCTTGCGCCCCGGTACTGACAGCTGCTCATTCACTCGAATGAAACACGCCGGGTAGGACGCCTTCTCGTCGCTGCAGCCTTTAATGTATAACGACGCGATGTTCCGATAGTAAGGCACCTGTTTCATCTTGTTCCGAACTGCATCCAGATGGCCACTCATCTTGGGGTTGTTCCGCATTTTTGCGACCGTCTCTTCATAACCGTCTTCCGGAAAGAAGTAAGTATTGATGTAATTAGACAACTTAGAATCCAAGGCAGTGGTCGCATATAACTACCAAACAAACCAGGTCATCACACCGGGGTATGATACTGCCCCGTATTCAAATTCTCTGTCTATAGGGAGAAGGGACGGGCGGGTGGTGGATGTCGGGTCATCCTACGAATCTTTGGTCGATCAAGGCCTGCACGTCTTCATCGTCTCCGCGCGCCAGGAGCCACAGGAGGCCGGCGTTCAAAATCTTCATGGTGCAAGGTGCCGTTTGGTTTTCAGCCTCTCTTGGCGTTTCAGAAGGGCAGCCCTGCGCAACTCCTCCAAATCCGGAACCTCATCTACGTTAACACCCTGCTCTCCGTTACAACCACTGTTGGGACGACCAGGCTCCTCAGTTGGGCTGGGGTTCTGATGTTCGCGACTAAAGTTCGGACGAGGGTCGACGCCTTGTACACCGGCACTCGTCCGGGTATCTGCACGCGTATTTCCTTCAGCATAAGTGTCTTCCGAGTTAACTCGGTGATGGCATCCCTGTTTGGGAGATTCGTCAGATGCCATATATTCATCTGGTTCGTCGTACGGAGCGTCAGTCGCTTCGTGTTGCCGCATTAGCTCTAGCTTTCGTTTCCGCTTTTCCAGGGCTTCTTGTTTAGCTCGCTCAGCATTGCCGGACTCCGCCTTCTTAACGTGCTCTAGGTACTTGGTATATTCGTCAATCCATTGCTGCCTCCATGTCAATTTGGTGGCCTTATTGATTCTCAGATAGTTCGCCACTCGTTTGCTAAGCACTGGTAAAGCCGTTGGTTCTTCAAACGCCGTTTGCAAATACGCTCTCTGCTGAAAAAGCAATTGGTTATACCACTCTAGGTACGGGGCATCCGGGTTTCGAGGGTCATCACCCAGCTCGGCCTTGAGAAAATCAATGTCGTTGATATTTGTCAACGAAGGTATGAATAATTGCGTCCATAGTGACTTATTGTTCTCCTTGTGTTCCGGATTAAGCATTAGTTGCAACGCCTTCTGACTCTTAGTGAGACCCTCCAACGGGTTGTAGACCTCGTCATCCTCCGGAGCCATATTCCCGCCATCGATCAGCTCCTCATAGTTGGCGGCACTGATGTCCACTCCTTCATCTACGTGGGGCTCTGGCTCACGGGGCTCTGGCTCAGGGGGCTCAGGCTGCGCATTCATTAAATCAAATTTTTCAAGTTGTGGAGCAGACAAACTCTCCTGATGCGCTGGCTATCCCGATAACCGCGATATACAAAATATGACGCATTTCGGGCGGCGAGCTGTGGCATCAATAACGGCGCCGCATAATTCTGAAAAAGGGAATCCTGATTGTACCTTGAAATCCGGTCCAAATAGATTGGGGTTTTTCGAGGGTGGCCCCATTGCTCTGTAGAATCGTCAACGATTGAACACATCATTGGAGAACAGCAATCGACATTGGCTCCGCAAGGCATGCCTTTGTGTGTGCAGGAGAGAGCATAATAAATGACAGACAGCCATCGAAGCATTTGCGCAGACGCGTGCTGCACACACGTGTGCTACAATATTATTGGGGGCGAGGCGTCAAGTGGGTCGAGAATGCTCACAATATCTGATCCACAAGTCGCAGCGAGAAACCAGCGCCCGTCGACATCGATCCATTGTAGATCGTTTTGAGTGGATTCCAATGCCTCTTGTCCCGCTGCGGTGGACGTTGACGACGCTTTGCGGCGAGCCGTTTCTTGCTGACTTTTTCGGTCGACTTGGAGTATGGGTATTATGGATGCCCCGGTGGTCTTTATCGACGAGCCAATGAGTGACTGCAGAGACTGGCTTCGGCGGCGGCCAGTCCCGGCGTTTGTTTCGGCAACAGGCTGTAAAGCGGACAGTTGAATGCGAGAAAGCAGTTCTCCGCCCTCCAGAGTCCAGATGCTTATTCCGGTCTCTTGGTTGACGGTAGCGCAAATGCCCACGCCGTTGACGTTGTAGAGAAGCTGAGCAGCTTCGGCGCCCTCATCTGAACGGAGAGCCTCCATATCCCGGATGTCGAGGTTTCTAAGGAAGGCTAGGACGGGCATGAGCACTACATGATTCCCGCGAGAGGTGGTTAGGCAAAGAGTTACAGGCGGTTCCGTAGACATTCGTCTAGCAACGCTGACGGTCCGAATTTCGTGTCGCAGTTTGAAATAGGTGGCATACCTGCATCGTTTCTCCTGCAAGCTCCAGCCTACAACACAAGTGGGAATGCCCTCGTAGATGACTAAAATGAGTTGCTCGTCAGACAAGAACACGGCTGAGCGTACTTGTCGGTTGCTCCTGAAGCCCGTAATCTGTTTATGGACCAAAGCCGTAAGTCGGTTGTCGTCCCATATTGCGATAGTAGAGTCCCGGTGGAAGCTGAAGTAACCGCGGTCACATTTCCCGCAGCAAACGACGTCCGCGTCGGTGGCCTCGTAGGAGCCGTAGAATGAGATTTCGCACTCGGCGACGAGGTCGATGACGGAGATTCCTGTTCCATTCTTTTTACGGATCCCACAAACGGCGCGCATGTCTTGCTTGCAAACGTAAATACCATAATTAAATGGGTACTTTGTCGTGATAAGTTCGCACACGTGTGCGAAGTCCTCTCCGTACCCGAAAGAGAAAGATACTTTGTACAATAACGCTTCGCCCGTCCGCGCTACTAGTAAATGGTCATCGTAGGTCCAGCAAGGCGCGATGCACCACTTAGTTGAGGAAGGAGACGAGGAAGAAGAAGATTTGTACAGCGACCGCTTTTTTTTGTAACTCGGTAATTGTAACCGGTACGCCTCCCTTGTCACCGGCAGAGCGCCCTCATCATCTCTGCCCTCCTCCCTCCTTAACGTCAATCCACCACCGCCGTCCAACGGGGGGTCAAACACCGAGTCGTTTGGTGACCCGTCGAACGTCGCCCCGTCGCAGGACACCCCCGCCAAAGTCATCGTAGACAGAATTCGAGGAATCGCCCCACCTACCGGAGCCCCACCTGCATTACTCACTGGTTCTTCTGAACCCCCGTCCACGATACGCGTCCAGCTCTGGAACTTCCGAGGACGAGGACGGTCCGATAAACGGTACTCCGCCAGCAACTCATGAAACCGAAGATTCTCCAATACCACAGCTTGTTCTACAATATCATTGGATTAACAACCCTGCCTTCCAGCCATAACTTGAATGCGAGACAACCCTCGAAACCAGCTACAACCCTCGAAACTACAACCACCCAGAATACCACCTCAACACTTACGCTGCTCAATTGTCGAAGCCCATGCTTCTTTTTGCGTCAAATCCCGTAGTTCTAAATGCTGCCGAAATTCTGCCAACCACTCCTCCAGATTAAACTCGTCATCCACTTGTGTTCCCTTGGACTCTTTTTCCATACATATCTTAAATTCCCCAACAACAATTCCCTGACTACAGTTCCTTCCCACAACGGACTCTCCCTTCGCTCATCCCCAACGCAACACCGCCCACACATTCATTGTTTTTGAGCAAAGTAAACATAATCACTAAAGGGAGATCAAAACCACACACGAATGCTAGATTCAGGTGCTGTAAGACCCCGTAAGTGGTGCGTCCTGTTGGGTGCTGGGGAACGGCCTGCTAACGCTGAGCTCGTCGTCTGAGTCGCGGAATAGGGGTATCGCGTCAGGTGTGTGTGTCGCCATGCTACCCTCTGTCTTCCCTATATCAAAAACCCCGTTGCCTGCCCGTCATTGAGCTGTTACGTCTCGACGCACCAGTAAGAACTGACAGCTCATAAAGAATTAATCTCTGATAAATGTTGCAATTTCAAGGCTCGCGTTTCCAGAGACGATTTTGAGAAGGAAAAAAATATCCGGCGGGCTAGTGCAATGGATCAATGGTTTGAATTTATAGAGGCTCTGAACGCTAAGACGGAGGAAATTCGGAATGCAAAGGTGGAGGTCGCCGAGACAACGCCTTCTCCAATAACAGAAAATAACCAGGTCGACTCCGAAGAATCTGAGAAAGCTCTGCCGAGCGACGATGATGATGACGAAATTGTGGAGCTTTCCAGTGAGGATGAGAAAGGCACGTTCAATGGTATAAATCCGATCGTCATAAAAGGTAGTGCCAAGTCGTTTGAAACAAAATTTAAAAAGAGACTTCAGCAAGCGGCAGAAGAAGCAAATGAAAAACGCAAGAAACGACGACTAAGAAAAAGATTAATGGTAATGACCCTCCGCCCCTCCGCCCCTCTCCCTCCGCCCCTCCGCCCCGCTCCGCTCCGGGCCGCCCCTCCGCCCCGCCCCGCCCTGGCCGCACGTTGGACAATTCTTGATGATTGTTCGACCGTATATATCCTTAAATATTGTATGTTAACTTAGTGGTTGCGGAATCAGAACGTGAGGACTGAGGAACCCCAAATGGATGAGTATGAGCGTCATATATACACACTAGCTAAGCAAGGGGCTGTGGCATTCTACGCAGCCAGTAGCTGAGTGAGGTTGCGGAATTGAAATTCAATCATTTGTTAAGGAAGACGTTGAATTATAGACGAAGGCTGCGTTGCCGAGCAGGCGTTGCCGAGCAGGTCGAGTAGCGTCAGCAGGTTGAGGAACTAACCATTATCGGCAATTTGGCCTATTGTCGGCATTTTGTCGAGGCATGCGTTTTCGACGACACCTTTTTATGTGATAACACCTTTTCGCGATGGAGAAGTACGAGTGCAAGAATTGCGGATTGGTCATCGTGGACAGTCAAAGCAAACCCAACAGCTTGTGGGCGCGACTCACAAGGGGCACAACACCTGTATTGACACACGACAACACACATATGAGAATTGACGACGTGGCTTTTTCACAAGTCAATTTGGCCGGCAGTGCTGCTCCTCCCGACAGTACGGCATCAGCCAGTCCTACTCCGGACAGCCCTGCCAGCTATGGCGCCGCCAGCCACGAGGCGGCCAGCCAACAAGCGGACACTCCTGGGTCAGTGCCCGCGATGCAGCAAGGCGACGTGAAAATCACGACCCAGGTCCAGGCCAAACCAACCATCACATCTTCCTCGGCACAGCTGACTACCGTAGCTGTGCCGACGTCTCCGGCCACCATTTCCATCCAGTCTCCGGCGGCACCCCCGGTCCAGTCTTCGGTAGCGCTCTCGGCGTCTCCGGTGGCACCTTCGGTCCAGTCTCCGCTGGCGCTGTCGGCGTCTCCGGTAGCTCCTTCCGACCAGTCTCCGGCGACCACTTCGATCCAGTCTCCGGCGACCCCTTCGATCCAGTCTCCGGCGACCCCTTCAATCCAGTCTCCGACGACCCCTTCGATCCAGTCTCCGGCGACCCCTTCGATCCAGTCTCCGGCGACCCCTTCGATCCAGTCTCCGGCGACCCCTTCGATCCAGTCTCCGGCGACCACTTCGGTCCAGTCTCCGGCGACCCCTTCGATCCAGTCTCCGGCGACCCCTTCAATCCAGTCTCCGGCGACCCCTTCGATCCAGTCTCCGGCGACCACTTCGGTCCAGTCTCCGGCGACCCCTTCGATCCAGCCGCCGGTCGTTTCCGTGCAGTCGTTGACGACCTTGGCCGCGCCAGGGCGGAAGGACGAGGAAACCTTCTTCACGCCGGCTTCGCTGGCCGACTCGGAGGAGGACCTGTCGTTGCCTGTGGAGGGGTCGGAGATCGGAGCGAACAGCGGGATAGAGGAATTCTCGACTTCGCCGGAAACGGCACCGACCAACGCGTCAAGCGGCGACGGTCCGCGGGACTTGGAGCTTGAGGCGCCGCTCGACCCTGAGGGTGGAGAGCCGGAGCCGCTTTCGGAGCCCGTTAGACAAATCAATTTGAGGCCTTCTCATCTAGACAGTGAACTGCCACACAACACCCCGACCCAGACACCGACGGCTCCTACACCGACACAGACTCCCGCCAGTGGAGTGCCGCCCCCCGACACGAATGACCACCTAGCCCAAGCGGCTGCGTCTTTCAGAACTGAGCCGCCAGTTATTGGAAGCAGCGCCTCTATAACGCCGTCTACCGCTCCTATTAAACAAGCGGCGGCCACCTGGAAACCCATCGTGGTATCGGTCACTCCGCATATTTCTGTCGGACCATTGAGCGTGGCTGCTCCGCTCAGCATCTCCTCCGGAAGCATCATACCCACGCCCGGGGACATACCCACACCAGGCAGCCTCGCCTCACTGCTCGACTCCAGCATAGGCTCTCCAGTCCACATCCAGCATCGCCCACAAACAAATCACGAGTCCAAAAACATTGATCGCGACGAGGAGCTGGAAACTCCATCCCAAGACGCTGCGGACGAGCTCGACTCCGGTGCTTCGTCTGTATCTGTTCCCTACAGCAGCGACTCCGCGGAAAGCCGCTATGCAACCATGCTCAAGGACGAAGGGCCGGCCCCAGTGACCCTGGTCCAAAGGGTGAGGGACGCGTTCGGCTCTGCCCTCGGCCTGAAGAAAAAGAACAGCTTGGACGAGTCTAAGGCCACGGAGTCTAAGGCCACGGAGTCTAAGGCCACGGAGTCTAAGGCCACGGAGTCTAAGGCCACGGAGTCTAAGGCCACGGAGTCTAAGGCCACGGAGTCTAAGGCCACGGAGTCTGAGGCCACGGAGTCTAAGGCCTCGGAGCCTAAGGCTAGGAGATCCAACACTGGGGAGTCCAAGGCCCCCGCGTCTAGCGTCGCGGAGAAGGACAAGAGCGACGACAGAGCGGAGGCAAAGGGAAAGAGGAAGAGAAGAAGGAAGCCGGCTCGGTCGGAGGGGTGGGGCGGCAGCCGAGCCGTCAAGTCTGTGCCGGCCACGGCCTCCTCGGCCTCGCCGCGAGACTTCGCGTCCCCCGACTTGGCAACGTCGGCACGGATGACCACAGTCCCGTCGCTGGCGACAGCGAAGAAGAGTCGGGAGCGGCAGAGTCGGGAGCGACAGAGTGGGGATCCGCAGAAGAGTCGACAGGCGGCACCGGACTACAACCCCTTCGTAGCAGCCATGTCCTTCGCCGAGGACGTCCGTCGCGAAGTGGCTGTCCGGGCCCGCCTTTCTGAACCCAATTTGCTGGCACCCCCGGCGCTGGCCCGACGGGGCCGGGCGGCCGCCCCGCGGATGACCGCGGAGGCTGAGCCAGTGGCTAGCGGCACCTGGGCCGACCAGTCCGCCGCCGGGTGCTCTTCAGCCGGCTCGCCCTTTACGGTCACTCCCGATGACGTGCTGCAAACCCCCAGCCCCATCCCGCTCGAGGTCCAGTGGGCGGAAGAAGACAACGAGGACCTGATCATTTCCAGGAACCCCGTCCAGGCGTTCGTCGACGTCATGGAACTCATATTGGGCACCAGACCCATGCCCTACGACCTGACCCCTCGGTCCGTCTAAAAGAAAAGATTCGGGGGGGCCGCGCACCAACAGTCTCGCACACACGTGTGCGACCGACCCCACGTGCACAAATAAGCGACCAATACCAACACGCTCTGTGACCGGGATGAACATGTGCAGTGGCTAGTCACCATAGAGAGCCAGCTACCCCTATGGCTGGCAAAAGAATGCTGCTAAACCAATGATGACGTTGGACCAACCAGTGAACAACGCTCGACCAAAGCAACATAACCTTACTTTTTTCTATAATCAAAACCAAATCAATCACAACGTTGCCAACTTCAACCAGAAGCTTGGCCTCCTGCTCGACTCTAGGAGGGGGGGCTCGACAGATGGCTGCCATCCTACCGAGCTGCAACTGCCTCGCTACGCTTGACGGGCCTACTCCCAGACCCGTCAGGCGTAGCGAGGCAGTTGCAGCTCGGTAGGATGGCTCAGAGCCGATGGAGGTTGGTATCGAGAGCATCTACGATGCCCAGACCACAACGTATCCAGCTTTTTGGTGGTGTATGGGCTGCTCTGTGCGGCTACGAGTGAGGACCAGACCCTCTCTAACAGTTCCACGCTGGGGACGCCGAGGTTGGTGTGGTGTGGCATCTCGGCCAGCAGTTGGTGCACCTCGTCGCTGCGCTCGGCCTGGGCGTACTTCGCCCAATCGGCGAGACAGCATATAGTTTGCCCCTGCCGTTTGTTGCGCGTCCGGAGCACGTTGCGCGCAAATGTATGCCGACCTAACGGGGCATTCTCGCGGTCGCTAAGAACCAGCCCAGCGGCGATGTCCACCCGCCCGTCCGCCACAGGGTCCGAAGACGCTTCCTCTGCGACTCCTCTTCCAGCACGACCAGCGTCACCACGAGTACTCGCCTTGGCCACGAGGCCCCGTTTGCTGCCACGGACATTCGTGAACAACCTCTTCTGGTTACATCAGCAAAGATTATTTTTCTTATTTTGGAAATTTCGTGTGTAGGGAAAACTGGGATGCTGAAACGCGGAATAAGATTCTAGGGACTTGATCTGATGTCTAGGGACTATCTTTAAACAGTTGGAGGAGGATAGATAGCGCGGTCGGTGTTTGTAGTGATCTCGAAAGTGTTTGGTTCATGCACCTATCCGAATTCTTCACTCTCATGATTTTCAATTTGGGTTTTACCAGACCGCTTTTCACGCCCATGGATCTGCAGAAGAGTAAGTCAGTTGCAATTGATCATTAAAAACAAGAAGTCATGTATTTGTTGCAGTTCCGGGCTTGCAAGATTCGGTAGCAACATGGGAGAAGGTATTCCCACCCAAGCCGTACGCACTGGAGATGTCAGCTACAGCCTTCAGGGATGAAATCAAACCGAGTGTTGAAAAGGAGTTAAAAATTATTGAGTGATCAGGGGATCGATCCACCGTCCGGCAGGTGACGAACTGATTGTTCACAGTTGCTTGATGCGCAAGCGTAAAGTACACTGGAGCAAGGGCTTGGCCACGACGATTAGGGCCGTGAGCAGGCCGGTAGTGGTCAGGGCTACGACATAGGGTAGAAATTCGGGTGTTATGGACACACCCTGGACAATTGCGGCATTCGGGTGGTATCTCGTGCTACGGGGATATATATGGGCTTCGGTCACCTTTTGAAGTGCTGGGGGGGCGGAGCCAGGACACTGTATGGCGATTGCCGGCGGCTCAAGGTATATTCGGCCTCTTTCACTTTCCGAACCTTTTTGGGCGAAGGCATTTTTGGGTGCGTCTAGGAGGTAGCGGTCGTGGAAGGTGGGCCCCTGGTCTCCATAATTGCGTTCGCCGGTAAGTAGTAGGTGTGTGGTGCGATATACGACGGGTGTTGCTAGATGGGCCGGTAATTCGATGTCATGGAACTGCGGGAAGACCCAAGCAAGGCGCCCAGTTTCCTGGCGTCCAGGGCCATGACGTCCAGCAACATGGCGTGTGGACTCTCTTTGACGGGTATGTGCTTGTGCTTCGTCTTGGTCAATGAAGATGCTGGCGGGAAGGAATTGATCCACGACGACTTGGCAGCCGGCGTCCACGAGAGCGGCGGCGGGCGGTTCGGGCAGTGTGATGCGCGTGTCCATTCGGAAGGTGAGGCCCGACATTTTGACTCGGCGTGTGAGCATCACTTCCGGCAGCGCCTTGACCTCGTCCATGGTCACGAACTCAAGTTGCGCTGTCTCGCCCGGAAACCCAAAGAGGCGCAGACCAACGACAGACGTAGCGGTCGTTCCCAAGGTCTCCGTCGCTCCCAAGGCCATAGCCAACGCCTGGACCAAGCTTGAGGGACTGAAGCCCAGACGCCGCTCCCAGGACGCGCGGTAGATCTGCCACACGGGGTAGGGGTACTCCTGTAGCTCGCGGGCCGTCAACGGACTCGCCACCATCGGCAGCCGCGTCTGGTTCTGCGCAATCGCCAACCCACTCACAAAGTCCGATGGCACCGGGGGCAAATACACGCACTCCGCGGCATATGGTGGTTCGGCATATAGAGGATGCTCGGGGGTATGGAATCCACTCAAATAGTTCGGGAGGCACTTGGAGGAGTCCATCTCGGGCATGGCGTCATTGAGCAGAGGCATCAGCGTGTTCATTAGCAAGTTGACCGCGGGACCGCCATCCACCACGCCACCTGTACGGTGCCAGTTGGCTTGGTACTGACTAGGCGCAATCCCGCTCAGGCGTTTCGTCGCCGCCTCCGAGGCTGGCATAATGAACGTAAACCCGTCCGCACACAGCGAATCCGCAGGCGCCGTGGACGTGGCACACAATGTTAACACGAACGGCAAACCGTCCTCTGAAACCACGTAAGGCAACGCCGCACCCAGCGCCCACAATATCCACTTCATTTTATTCTGTCGATGCCCCCCCCCCCC